AAATTTGTTTGCCTTCGAGGTGTTGTATCTCGGTGTAGCAATTTTTGAAAAACTCAAAAAACACATCTAAACACCTTATCGAAAGCATGTCTGCTTTTTTCTGGATATAGGCAAAGAAATAACATGTAACTTTCACGTAATTCCACTTGCGTCCCTCGTAGTACAGATTGCAGACCCTGTTGCAGATTAAAAGAGTGTACAAAGTGCAGGCCAAGACGCTTAAAAAAGTCTAGGAGAGTCCTAACAAGCTTTTAATGAGTATTTAATCCCTGAACCTTGAAGTGCCTTTAGTATCCGTTACCAGCTAAAAGGGTATCCAGATGAATTTAAGGGCCTTTGAGAGCTTGACAGTTTCCAAGAACTTTTAACATCTGAAAGTCTTAAAAGGGCGTTAAGCTAACGAGCCTTTAAATGCTTCGATTTGTAAAGCTTCCAAAACACCTGTGACACTGCAGGGGTTTACAAGAGATTTTTTAAAAGCTTCCAAGAGTCTATCAATCTCATTTTAGACAGCCTTAAAGAGTCTTTAAGAGCTCAATCTTGAGAAAAATTGTAATAGTACATGCAAGAGCACTCGAGTTCCGGAAATCCTTCCGGTTTGTTTTAGGTCCTTTCAAATTTGTAAAACTGATGGTTTTAAGAGTCACTAAAGGTTTTTAAAATGACGTAGTTGCTTAGCACCCTCAAAGGAGCAGGCAACCCGCACAGGAGGGGCTGAGATTATACCCCCGAGTGCCATAAAAATGTTAAGTGACCCCCCAATATTCTAAACGTCTTTTCACAGCCATGGAGCTTAGGAAAGTCGAAAAAAATGGTAACAGTTATTAGCCACAAACATTTTCGGTCAACAGCCCCTAGGGGAGTAGGCAACCCCTCCCCCTAACAGAGGGGCAGATGAGCATGGCGGCACGTCGGAACATTAAGAAGATGGGTGCCAAATTTTATAGCTTGACTCAAAAGTGCAACCATCTTGGGTTAGGGATTTTGAAAATATTTTCCCAAAATGAGAAAGAGGACATCCAAAAACCTAGTTAAAGCCGCAAGTTCCATCCTTCCATGTGTTATAGTTCTGGTACAGGTGTCCCTGTATGTAAAGCGCAAACTCTAGTGACGAGACAAAGAAATAGGTAAAAGAAACCTCCAACACTCGGATAGCCTCTAACGGCAAAACAAAAGAACCAATGTAACAAGAAATCTAGAGCACTTGAAACAACTTTACTACAGGCACAACTAACGTCGCAAAATTTTTACTAGACTTTTTTACTCAGAAAATAATACAAAATCACGTAGTGAAGAGTTCGCAAGGATACGCCCTCTAGAGTCAAATTTTGCGTAAAGAATGACAGTAGCATGCTTCGGTATATTGTGATATTTTTTGATATTCTCTGGCATTCTTAGATATTCTGTAATATTCTTAGGTATTAATTTACCCCCTCAACAATCCTTTTCATTACGGTAATTAAGGATAGAATCATTTCTACTCAACCCCCACAAACCCAAATGGTGTCGGACTTTAGTTGAAACGACTAGTACTCAAAATGTGACATATTTTAATCTTCGAATGTAAGTTTACTTCTCAAAACAGAATATCGGGAATTCAAGGGGGGGGGGGGCTCTGTTAAGACACAAATATTTGAAAGCGTCCGGCACATTTTCAAGGTACTCGTATAACGTCTATTTGCATTATAGAACAATCCCCTTAAAAGTACCTTGAAATAACGAAAGCACGCCCGGAAGGACAAATCCCAAACAATAGCAAATTTTTTAATTCTTAAAGAATGTGGTACCATAAGGGCTCTTGATATCCGATATCCTGGGTATTTAGTACCACTTAGGTACTGTATATAACTAATTGCATAATACAGTTTGTACTTACGAAGTATTAAATATTACCTACTAGCGAGATTTGGAAGGTAGCCAAGGCTGATACAATCCTAAAGGTATCAAAAAACTTCTATGCACATTTAGTGAGTACTTAAGTAGTACTAAGTAAATAATATTGCTGTTCATTTATCAATTAGTTTATTTTTTGATTTGCACGATTATTACTAACCTAAATGTAATGCTATTTGGTATGGTTGGAAAGCATTTTCAGAGCTTTCCAACGACGTATCACACATGGAGGGTCACTATTTAAGATTTAAAAGTTGGGGTGGCTGCGGCGCAGGGCGTTGAAGGGGGTGCGTCGCCAACTATGTCATTGTGATTCCCCCTCCGAATTACCGAAACGGATTTTGATTTTTTTAAATATCTCATTTATTTACTAAGACCTGGGGGATGGTACTTAAGTTTTCAAATTGCCACCCTGTATATCAAATATACCTATCATAAAACTGATTGCGTATATATTATTGTGTTAATTGACATAGTTTAGACGATGTCTATTTTTTGTTTAAATAACAACATTCTGATTTGGTTATTTTCTTGCAAAATTACGTTTTTATTTTTTTTTATTTATATATTTTTTTTAAATTTTATTCGCATATTTACAATCTACATCATATTTGAGTATTAAGTAAATTTGTACGTTAAGGAAAGATTAAGAGGCATTGTTAGAATTGTATTAGGTGTTTGTAAAAGTTTTTTAATGGGGGTTTACAGTATAGTTGAATTCCGCAGTTCTAATTTAATAAGCGTGTACCTGAAACCATAAAACATTTTTTTGGACAGTAAAAGTTTATTTAAAAATAGAGGCTGATTAGCAAAAAAATAATGAACATGTGCGGTTTTAAAGGTTTATTCAAAACGATATGATTGTGGCGGGCTCTGTGACGTAATAAGCCCGACCAATCAGCTCCTAGAACCATTCAGATGACATAACGACTTGGCAATATTGCAGGAGAATGGCATTTATAACTTGCGTCATCTGTCACAGGCACTTGTCACTTTCGTGCTAGATGCAGTTAAACATCCCTCTCAAAACGTCAAATGTGACAAACGTCAGACCCTCGCGTAAGGTTGCCAGCTCACTTCTACGTGATTGGTTGTAGGTTTGTGACGTATTTAGTCTGAAGCGTTTCAAATTCGGACTAAAAACACAGCTTTTCAATAATTTATTTTGGGTTTATTTTACTCGCAAATAAAAATTGAGGACACACGGGTCTTTTTATTTTTAATGTACTTTGTGGATCAGAAATAAAAAATGAAGGCGGGATGACCCCATTGTAATACTGACTCTCATTACGATCAGAGTTGTGATTATAGCTAAAAGTTAATTAATTTTGTAAACAGATGTTGTCGCAGGTGCGCGCTTAGATAAGAGGATTTTGTTTATTTTAACCAAAGATTTAGAAAGTAGAATCGAAGATGAGACAAGAGGCGAGGAAGAAGTGGATTTTTCCTTCGCCTTTGGCCTTTTCACTGCCGCTTCCTTGCTTTCGCCGTTGGGTGTAATCGGGCCCATTTGTTGGGGCCGGGCTTTCAGCTTTTCGGGTTTCGGATGTACTAAAGACAGTCAGTTTGTGTAATTATAAGTTTATTGAAGAACGTTAAAGAATTAAGAGACACCGGGTTAATTTGAATAGTGGAGTTTGAGTTAAGGAGAAGTTTTGTGTCACATATTCGGAGACAGGTTTAAGTTTTATGTAAGTTAGTGGAGTTTCTGAAGCAAATTCTGTTTAGTATTTGGAGTATTGACATTTGACAGTAATTAAAACTTTATTTTACCTGTTTCGATCGAGCGCTTGTAGCGCGGTGTTTGTCGCTGGCACTGTTGCCACTTTTTATTACAGCAATTATGGAATAAATTTGTGTTGTGTTTCAATGAACAGTTTTATATCAGTTTGAGCCCAAATTACGATCCTAGATTTTAAGAGTTTCATGTTAATTGTGACTTTATTTAATTGAGCTAGCTGGACACGTGTTTTTTTTTGTGGGTGACTTAGTGCCCGCCATTGCACACAGCAATATCTAGTACCCATGGAGTACTAGATAGTACCGTTGTATATTAATGTGCTGGTCATCCAGTGTGCTGACTGCTTTTCAAATGCTGTTGGCCAGTATGGCTTTAAATTACTGGAAATACAAGATCTTAATTATAAGGTACAAAGGACGTAAACAGTTTCCAAGACATTCTAAGGTTTTAGATGATAACGAGCCAGGAAAAAACCGCCCCCCAAATGTTTACTCGTCCGGAAACTCACTCTGACTAAAATCGCTCTTTAAAAAAACTTCCCTTGGTCGTTTTTTCCAACCAATTTGGTGCATTAATATGATTATGATAACATACTACGATATCTAAAAAATACAAGAGAAAGCACTGATCATATAGTGGGGTTAAAACTAAATAACCTTAACATTAAGTGCACAGTTATAAATAATTCCTAATTGTGGGGTTCCATTGTGCATAAATAGTCGTTTCCCAAACAAAATTTAACTGTTACAAGCTTCTAGGATCAATTTGAGCTTATTTTAGGAAATCGTTTGGTCAAAATTCATGGGTCATCGAGATAACGTATGCGAATGAATATTCAATTCGGGTTAATAGACGAAAAGTTAAGAAAGGTCCAAAGTCTCGCTTCCCTGGAGGTCCAGAAATAAATAAATCGGTCTAAACCCAAAATGGGCAAATTGGGCTTTCTTACCACCTTCAAGGTGGCAAAATCCCGCTGTTTTTTAAAGAACTTTTTGTAAAAGTTTTGATTCGTTGTGACGCTGGGGTGGTTTCGAAAAATACCTCTACTGGCCCATTGAAGGACGACTAAAGCATCCATTCACCTTCGTTTTTAATTACCATAATTAAGTTATCTAATCTCGGCGACTAATTGGCCCAAATTTTCAGGTACATTTATAGCGACGTTCCACCGGTTTGACGAATTAATTAGTTCCCGTTTCGCCCTTTTTTCGGCCGATAGTAAAATTTCGAACGTCGAATGATAATGAATTTATTTATATACCCGTGTTGTTGACCTCTTCGTTCATAGAGAAAATTGCGTCATTTGTAAACAAATTCGGTGGATAAATGGCGAATGTCATCGACATTGGCGAAAAACTCGACTTACCTAAACGGGGACCGAGCCAGTATTTTCCAGGACCGGTGTATATATGGGGTGTAGGTTTGCGCGTCGTGCTGCGATTCACTTCCGGTATGACTCCAGTAGTGGTAGGTCTGAGGGACTCGCAGCGGCGCGGGAAGCAAGTTTCCCGCGTGCAGATGCACTTGGTGCACCTGTAAGTGCTGTAGTAATTCCAACCGTAGCAAGGAACTATCGGGTTATATTTGTAATGGACAACCCCGTCTTGGGTCACATATGAATTTCGCTTCCGCCTTTCTATTTCGTCGGAAAGTATGCGTTCGCGCACGAATTTTTCTCCGTGGTGGTGTCGAACTTTATGGGCTTCTTCCTTTTGTAATAAAACTCGATCTGCCAATTTTTTCTTAATTGAACGCCTGCGGCGCTTACGCTTTTTACCGTTTTCATAATCCGAGACTTCATTATTGTTCGAATCTTTGTTATTATCGACGTTGCCGCCGGTTTCTAATTTGTAATTCCGGCGCGCTATCGATCTATTACCGAAAGGGGACAGCACACCGTAAGGGTTTTCATCCACTTGTCGCACAGTTTTCGCGAGCGATTCACCGCAACTCCCGACCGTTAGCAATAGCACAACCCCTAGCGTTAGTAGAGCGCAACCGAACATGGCAAACACTTGGATCGCCATTAATCGCTTTGATCATTTTCGTATTGGGAATTAAATCGCGGATTATTATGTAACATGTTACTCGTGCTTCCAAGCAAGCCGAACCGCGAGATCACACTGAACCGCGGCCGCGGATCGTGAAACGCGCGGCCAGAACTCGCGAGGTAGGATTTTCTTATCTGCTTGTAAAGTGAATGAGACCAGATATGCTCTTGTTGGTATTTTATGGGTGTCCTCCACGTGCTAGTATAAATAAAGTCTTCTTCGTAGCTTCAACAGGTGTAGTATTCCAAACACCTCCATCGACTACCTACCAGGTGGCCCTTCAATTCCGCCATGTCCCAATAGAGCATTATGAATAAGCAAAACTCTTTCTTTGGAACACAATTGTTGTAATTATGGACGTTTAGCAACGGTATCTGACAATGGTAGGTATAGACATTCCAATCGTATTATGTAATTTTCTTATCAACGTCGAAAAACGAGGTCTTCTCGAGAGCCTTTTGCAATAAGCCGGTGTCTCAATTTATTTCGTTTGGGTAAACTTTCCGACTTGAAACGTGGGAAAAGGAGACATCGCGTTTGTTTATTTTTCTAGACTACTGCGGTTGGTAAACCATTCGCTTTGTCGTTGTACACTAACTGTTGTTTAAGTATCTTCAACTTGTTTCAATTTTTTTCCTTTTACTACAGCCGCTAATGTCGGGCTCGTAGGTAGGTACTTTATTTTTTGGGGTACAAAAGCATTAATCCTCGACATATGTTAGATATCAATTGTTCTTAAAACAACTGCAATTAATGTGAACGTAGTTCATTTCTCGATTTGATCCCTTGGAAAACCACAACGTTACAAATTTATTCATTTTCTCAGGGCGCTAGGGGTAGAGGGCGAAGTCGGGTTCCGGTTTGATTATGTCCATACAAGGACAAATTCTTTTGGGAGATAAGGTAAACGCAAAGACCACATTTAGATCATTTGTTACTATATGCTGCCGCATCAAATGGCGTATTAAAATTGCGACCCTTCGTTAATTAACAAGATACAAAGAAACGCGTACGATTTTCAGTAGGGGAATTTTTTGCCACTTAGCTCGCATTCGGAAACCAGACTTTTAATACGGCTCATATTCAATAGTACTGAATCTTGAACTTGTACAAATCGATTGGCGAAGGTTTGACATCGCCGTATCTTTTCATTCTCGAGTTAGACGAGGAACATAAAGGGAATTTTAACAAGTTAAAAAGTAATCGTAAACGATTTACATAAAGCGCATTTCCACTTGCATTCATTTCCCATTTGTAAGATGCAACTTTTGTTAAAATCGTAAAAATCCGCCCACAAATATGAAAGATAGCGTTGCACATGGGCAATCCATTGTTGACGTGCTACTTCAATTTCAGTTTATGCGAAGAATTTTATTTCAATGCTTTTCTAAATAAGAAAGTTGGAACTGCGCATGCACAAACCTAAATTTTAAAACTAATGTTAGATTTTCCTTTGTTCCAAGCGCCTAAGTATCAAATTTCACTTAAATGGTTCCATAGATAAAAAAGTTGGCACGGCGCATGCCCAAAATAAAATTTTGAAACTGGCGCTAGAGTTTCCTTTATTCTAAGTGCCTATGTATCACATTTCATTTAAATTCTTCCATAAATAAAAAAGTTGGCACTGCGCATGCGCAAAACCAAATTTTGAAATTGGCGTTTGATTTTCCTTTATTCCAAGTGCCTATGTATCAAATTTCATTCAAATACTTTTATAAGTAAAAAAGTTTGCAATTCGGTTTATAAATGGTCGAGATGCGAAAAGGGCACTGTGAATTTTGAATCGATTCGATCCAACTTTTGGCATTGCGTATTATATGGCTAAATCTATGCCCATATTGAATTTCATGCAATTCAGTTCATAACTAACGGAGATGTAAAAGCGATCGAACATTTCTAAACAAAGTTATCGTTCACACGGACAGATAGATGGACAGACAGACAAAGGAACAGACGGAGAGACCAACCGGCAGGCGACAGATAGCAATGCAAAATTATAAACGATCTCTAGGATCGTTAATAAACGGCAAAAGTGTAAAATTATGGAACATGTAAAAAACGGTTTTTTGTTTTTTTTACAATAACTTTTTTTGTAAGCGGTACAGAAAAAATTCCTTCCTTGGTACAAGACTCGACACCATAACGAACCAAATAGCGAAAAAAGTAGAACAATAGCTCTTAAGATAAAAAACTAGTAGCGTCGCAAAGTTAGCGGACGGACGGACGGACGGACGGACGGACGGACAAAGTGGCCACAATAGCGCATTTTTTTTTATTTTTGTGGAAATGCGCTAAAAAGTTGGCACTGCGCATGCGCAAAATAACATTTTGAAACTGGCGCTAGATTTTCCTTTATTCTAAGTGCCTATGTATCACATTTCATTTAAATTCTTCCATAAATAAAAAAGTTGGCACTGCGCATGCGCAAAACCAAATTTTGAAATTGGCGTTTGATTTTCCTTTATCCCAAGTGCCTATGTATCAAATTTCGTTTAAATTCTTCCATAAATAAAAAAAGTTGGCACTGCGCATGCGCAAAACCAAATTTTGAAATTGGCAGTTGATTTTCCTTTATTCCAAGTGCCTATGTATCAAATTTCATTCAAATGCTTTTATAAGTAAAAAAGTTTGCAATTCGGTTTATAAAATGGTCGAGATGCGAAAAGGGCACTGTGAATTTTGAATCGATTCGATTCAACTTTTGGCATTGCGTATTATATGGCTAAAGCTATGCCCATATTGAATTTCATGCAATTCAGTTCATAACTAACGGAGATGTAAAAGCGATCGAACATTTCTAAACAAAGTTATCGTTCACACGGACAGATAGATGGACAGACAGACAAAGGAACAGACGGAGAGACCAACCGGCAGGCGACAGATAGCAATGCAAAATTATAAACGATCTCTAGGATCGTTAATAAACGGCAAAAGTGTAAAATTATGGAACATGTAAAAAACGGTTTTTTGTTTTTTTTACAATAACTTTTTTTGTAAGCGGTACAGAAAAAATTCCTTCCTTGGTACAAGACTCGACACCATAACGAACCAAATAGCGAAAAAAGTAGAACAATAGCTCTTAAGATAAAGAACTAGTAGCGTCGCAAAACGAGCGGGCGGACGGACGGACGGACAGCCGGACGGACGGACGGACGGACGGACGGACGGACGGACGGACGGATAAAGTGGCCACAATAGCGCATTTTTGTTTTATTTTTGTGGAAATGCGCTAAAAAGAATCTAAAAATTCAACTCAGATACAACTAAACTCATTCAACGAATTTTAACAGTTCGTTTAATAGTATATTAAGTATGGAGAACGGTAAGGGATTTTTACCGTTCGAAGACAATTGTTTGGAGGAGGAGCGAAGCGACGACTCCAATTATTGTCTGAGAACGGTAACCCTTAACGTTCGACGTGCTTATAACATTTTTTGCGCGATCGAAATTAAAATTATGCAACCAATATAAATATGCACTAAGAAATTAACGAGCAGAATAAATCGAAATGATCGAAGTGGTATGGTGTACATCACTAGGCAACCAGTTTAAATGTCAAAATTGAAATTAATAATTTCATAAAAATGTGCATGTGTCTGATGTAGTTTACTAGCTTTGCACTTCCTTTATGACTTTATGAGCGTCTTGCTATAGGAAAAACAGCACAAATTGTACGTTTAATTTACCTAACAATAATTAAAGATTAAATGTAATGTAAGACTGTTGATTTTTAAAAAGGCGTCGGTAAGTATTTTTGCTGTTCTGTTTTTAGATCGGTAAGTAATTTTGGCGTCGTCGTAATCATAGTAACTGGTAAATTCTACGTACTGTCATGGAAACACCCATCGTAAATAGTCAGAAATGACCAGAGACTTGCTATAACAAGTCTCTGGAAATGACCGATCGCGCAAAAAGTAATATTAAATATATCCGTGGTGGAAGGTAATTCGTTCACTAGTGAGCACACTAAATGAACTGGTGATCTCTGTAACGCAGCAGTTCTGCATCTAAACGGGTTGAATGTTGCTGTGCATCTTGACGACAATCTTGGAACGCGGAACCTGATTTTGTTTAGTAAAGAAGGGCAATCGATAGTATTGGACAAACGTTTGTAGAGAAAGGTAACACATAGCCGCTTTCTTCTGGTACTAAGAGGTAAAAGTTCAAACCGCGCACACATAGTCGACTGAGAGAAACCTCTTGGGGGATAACATCCATCTTCTCGGTAGCATAGTTTTGAAAGTGATACTTTTTTTCATGAATTTGCTCATAAATGAGGGCGAAGCCCGAGTTCATCAAGCAAATTCATGGAAAAAAAACACTTTCAAAACGTGTTGTACACGAAATTTTTTTGCATAGTGATCCCTAATAACCCACAATTGAATAATTTGATTGACATTCGCGATTTACTGTCACTCAAAAGTGGATACTATGGCTCATACACAGGACTAAACTCCATGGAAACGCATAGTAAAAATCATGAAAAAAAGTACCACTTTCCATACGATTTTTCGTTTAAAAAAGTCCGATAGTTTCATCACTATGTAAAAAACAGTATTTTCATATCAAACTATTCACGCATTCATTTATATCTCAACGTAATCATTCTCCTCTGCGAATTCCACTTCTTCAGGCTCTTCGACGTCCTCTAGTGGTAGTGGGTCGTCTGAAATTACCGACTCGTAGTTCTCCTCGTCTTCCGCTTTACCTACATGGGTACCCTAAAGAGACGATGTGGCATTTAGGCACGATTTGCATGACACTGGACGCAGAGTTAGTTACATTTCAGACCTACAAAAAGCATGTCAAAAAAAATTTATATTACGAATATAATATTCTCTCGTGTGTCCTCAGTGTCCGGTGGAGAAGGTTTACTTAATTTTCTGAAACTGCAAGCAGTCGTGCAACCACGTTCACAGCCACATGAAATAAGTTTGAGGAGACTTTCCTGGGCTGGATCCGAAGTCGTTGTGATAGGCGTCAGGAAAGTCTCCTCAAACTTATGCTTGATGTATGACTCCATTGTTAATAGGTCATTAATGAAGGGTATTATTATTGAGAACTACCTATTATTAATAAATTTTCTTTTAGGCGATCAACTTCAACTTTATTGTCATCTTCAGGCCGTAGCGTCAAAGTTAAAATATAATATAATACTTTGACGCTACGGCCTGAAGATGATAGTCGAAATCGATCGCCTAAAAGAAAATTTATTAATAATAGGTAGTTCTCAATAAGAATACTCTCCTCGAACTTCTTTCATGTGGCTGTGAACGTGGTTGCATGACTGCTTGCAGTTTCAGAAAAAGGAGTTCGGACATACGAGAGAATATTATATTCGTATACTTAATTATAAATTTTTTTTTGACATAATGCTTCTTGTTGTAGGTGTGAAGAACGAATTCTGCGTCCAGTGTCATGGAACATCGTGCCTAAATGCCACGCCGTCTCTTCAGGGTACTCATACAGGTAAAGCGGAAGACGAGGAGAACTACGAGTCGGTAATTTCAGACGACCCACTACCACTAGAGGACGTCGAAGAGCCTGAAGAAGTGGAATCTGCAGAGGATAATGATTACGTTGAGATATAAATGAATGTGTGAATATTTTGATATGAAAATACTGTTTTTACGTGAATAAATGGCACATAGAAATACTTTGTTTTACAATGAATATTTCCCCACACATGAAAGTTGAAGGTGAAAGGTGACTTTACGCCAACTCTTCAGTTACGTATGCAATTGCACGAAGAGCATCTTCAGCTAAAAACATATTTCATCTAGCCCTGAAGGTCGCGATATATTTGCAAAAAACCGCAAAAAGCTACGGAAATTGATGATGATTTTCGCCTCTTTTATGAATTTCCTAGGCTAAGAGGTACACCTAGGCTAACTTCTGAGTATCTACCTTGTATGAAATTTCACGAGAAATATTTTCAGCTAAAAATATTTCATATAGACCTCATAGATCGCGAGATATCAGCCAAAAAGGGCGAAAACACGGTTTTTGAGGGGAAGTGGGGTGGCTGGTGCCTTTAGCACAGGATCTGAGGGGTGGGATTTTTAATATGTTGTTTCTGACACCTAACTGAACATATTCCACCATTTTTTTCTTTTCCACCTCAAAATGTCCAGTTTGCCAATTTTACAGTCTCTATCGCCTAGACTAATAATGAAGTTTGACACTTAGCAATCTAGATAGACGAGTATGTTTCAATTTTAAATGTCATTATTCAGATTAACGTAGCAATTGTTTTTTACTTTCCTCACTAGAGAGGAACATCGCATTTTCTTCACTCTTTTTAGAGACAAAAGCAGTTGTTTCCAACCCCTGTTCCAACCAAAGTAGTTTCAGAAAAAAATTATTTCCTAGCAGTTGAGAAAAATTTAATTAATTAATTATTTTCTCTGCGTGTATTCGAGTTAGTGCATATTTCTTGAATTAATTGGGATTCATTTCTGTTATTGAAATATCAATTACAGTTTTTTATAACTGCTTACAAATTAAAATTAAAAAAATCCGTAAATAATCAGTAATGCGTATTATCTGTGGCCTCATGTACTGTGAAATGACAACACCACGATTAATCTATCCCATTTACACGTGGCGACAACACAAAGTAAAATTGTTGTAATTTCAATAATAAAAAAAGATTAAATATCAAACATACGGTCGGTTGCAGGAAAGCGAATTATAATCAAAATCCTACATTATTTGCCAAATCTGAACTTAAAAAAGGATTTTGACATTTGATTGGGTGCATACTGCAGTATAAAGCCAATCAAATGTCTTAATACTAGGATTAAATAATGATCCTGGATTATTTTTGACGTAGATACTTCCTACTTTGACCGTAATTAGTGTGACTCTTATGAACTTAGTATTATTATTATTCTCAGAAATGGTATTCGATTGGGTCCATGACCGCGACCTTAAGATCTATTGTACCATCAAGTTTAAACACTTCATTCAGATGTCAAGATCTTTGAAGAAATCTATAATTCTCCGGGCCCTTAAGTTAAGAAATTTAATTTTAATTTCAGGGTTGTTAACTTTATTGACGTCTATTGATTTTTATTGACGGCTAGCACAATCGGTCAATAACTATACCTACCTCACGGATTAGATTATGATTATTTTTCCTTGAAAGTCTGTGGCAGCTTAACCTTTTTACACAGCGAGAAAAGAGACATTGCTCAATTCTGTTACGAATAACAAAAAATTCAATTAAATTGTTGGACTATACTATATTGGTCAAAAGTATTTTGTTTGTACCACATATAAATACAAATGAATGCATTATTACTATCATTATTATGTACAACAAATGCACAGTTGCACACCCACTTTTCTCAAATACTTATTCTAAATTTTGGGGGAATACACTACCATCATTTATTTTATATAAAAAGTTATACGGGGTGTCAATTTTTAAGACTTGCAGTCGGCCATATTTTCCAAACTACAGGAGATATTGAAAATCGCGCAAAACCGTTTCGGGGGTATCGAGGGGGAGCCAGAATGATGTTATGAGTGACAACCCCCACCCCCCTGAACCCCCAGCCCTCCTCTTCAAAAATTCTAAATGGCAACTTGACACATCGTTGGAAAGCTCCTGAAAATTGCTTTCCAGTGATACCAATAAAGTCAATATTCATTAAGACAATTTAACAAAAATGTAATAATTAACAAAAAAAAAACTAAATGTTGACATTGGGGGATTTATGGCAAATTGGCCAAGAAGTTCAACCTGAGCTGCTTCATTAAGGAATCTTGCGTTGTTTTCTTTTTTATTATTGTGGGTAATCATAACCAATAAGTTTGTCTTGTATTAATATAATTATTCACCACCCGTAGAGTTGATTCATTTAAAGGAGATACTGTGGGTCAGTGGTCAGTCAAGTCAGTTATTTTGATCATTTTCAGTACACTATAGAACTCGTACTCAGATATCATAACAGATCCCCATCGTTGACAACCGACTTCAATTATATTTCCTGATTGGCACATTTGTGCATTCCCGACTTGAGCCAGCAGCGAGGCAAATTTCACAAGCCTAAGTAGTGCGTGTTATTTTTTCGCCCTACGGACTTTGCAGTTTTGAAATGTTCTGTAATCAGAAAAATAAATATCAAATAATGGAAAAGGTCAGGCAAATCATTGTTTCACAATACACTCCATCCAAAAAGTTCAACTTCGTCATATTTGTTTAAATAGACTACTTATTAAAATGTCAATCGAATAACCGATAAGGAATTATTAATTAATTCGACTTCGTCGAAAACTATCACTTGGTAGTTTATCGTGGAAGCTGTGTGGATCTGCATTGCATCATGATTTTGATTTTCGCATTTTTTTTAGTCTTAGGTACGTATTTCAATCGTGTATTGTTAATATGCCTTATGTACCTACCTATCGATTTTGTAGCGAAGGCACAAGACTTTCAAGGGTCGTTGGCTTTCCATCTTCTACAATTGGGTATGGCTGTTGAGGCTAAATGCTTAAAGCATGTGGAACCAAGTGAATTCGCCAACATTATGGTTTTTTTTTCATCTAACATTTACGTCACACTTACGGAATAGTTTTAGAATTCTTTTGAGAATATTTCGAAGTGTTACCCTCAGGATAATGATGTGACTCCAGATACATTTTGTAAAGATTATGAGAAGGTACATGAGCCATGCCTAAAAGAAGTAATGTATAAAATGAAAAAATGTTTGGACTCTGACGAACAATATTTTCCTGACTTCGCTTTGGAAGGTCAGAAAAGGACAATCGAAAGGATGTGTGCTGAAGGTGACATTATTGGTAGAATTTTTGTATTTTGAAAGAAAGCGTTGTTTACATAATTTATTTTTAAGAACGCGTGAACGCCTTGACAAATATTACGTGTCAGACAGGAAATATTGGCAAAATTCTAGGGAAAGAGCTTAATTTGAGGTGTGTTCCTCATTTAAAAATCATAAATAATTTGGAGAAAAATATGATTTCACTCAATCGAGAAGATGTTTGCAGGTAATTTTAAGAATACTTAATACCTACCAAAAAACTAACCACATTAATCTTCTAGTGATCTACAACTGTTTCGGGATTGTATAGTTGGAGCACTGGATAAAAGATGTTCCTTACCAAAAGATTCGAGAAATGTTATTCTAAATATATTTAGAGATCAATTAAAGAGTTGTTTCGTAACTAACGGATCAACAAGTACTGCTTATGGTGCTATTAATAATTTCGTATACATTATACTTGGCATTGCTACATGGATAGTATATAAACGGTATTAAATTTGTGAACGGAATTTAGTCCTTAAAAACCTTACCCAAGCTACGCAAGGGTGAGATGGACTAAATTTGGTACTCGCTGCTACATATTTTTGCAAAATGTTGTTTCCAAAAATCAAAATCATAATCCTATGCAAAGCACTCCAGCGATGCTCCTGTCCGACTTTAATTTTAAAGAAAAGAACGCCGATAGGTCGTTAGTACAACAAATAAGGCTCAATAACAAGGAGAGGAGATTACTTTTGGTCAAGGTTATTGGTATACTATTCACACTGTGAACCCGAGTTGTTAAGGTGCACTGTATCAGATTTTTTTCACCAAACTGGTAGGAAACGTAGTGAAAAAATATCTGGCAATGGCTATAAATAACTTGACTACCAATAAGAATCAAAATCGTAAAGTAGTTTGAGTTTTTTTGATAGAGTCGTTTCGGAAAACAGCGATGACGCAATAGATACGTGTGGACATGACATTGAACCCAAAATTTCCGTATAATACAACAAAGCGAAACATTTGTGTTTAAAGTCTAGATTTCGTGTTGAAACTTGAAATCACGGTAGCCAAGGAGAGATTAGTACAATAGAAGTCTTTTAGGCCTACTTTTCTTAGCGCCACCCTGCTACACTGGGACCAGACCATAGATCTCTTTAGGTCTCACCTTGCTTGTGCGACATCATATCAGCTTTTAGACGGCTACCTGCTCTTCATGGCGCCAATCTACTTCACTTAATGTAGGATATTAGGACACTCTCTGTCCTTTGGCAAAGACCATGAAAGCCCCTAACTAAGGCATTACGGTGCTCTGCTTTGAGTCATCAGTGTCTTCCATCAGAGACCATCGGCCCCATAAAAGTATCAAAGCCTTTTGTAAATTTAAACACAAAATGTGCCTTACACGCGGAAGTTTTCCTTTTAGGACCACTTAGGCCCAGTGTTGTTAAATTTAACTGCACATTATTTGAAAGCTGAATGCGCGGTGATTCAAAGTTATATTATGTCACAGTGAACGTTACGCCTGTTTTTTTAGTGCATTTTCCAACTCTTGTTGGAAGGTGCTATTATGACTTTCTCCGTTCGTCAGTCAGTCCCTTATAACTACAGTTTTCAAGATATTTAGTGGCACCTCAACGATGAAAAATCTTCACGACTAATGTGCGCATGCGCAGACTGCGCAATATCATCTTTCTTATTTATAGATATATTTTTTTGAAATTTTAAGCACAGATGCTTTTAGTAAAGGCAAGCATATCGGACACTGCGCAATGTTAGCTTTCATATTTATAAAGATATTTTTTGAAATTTATACCAAATATTCTTCTATTGTAAAAGCAAACATATCATATATTTTAAACATCAGGTGTGCACTTGCGCAAACTGTGATATGCTAAGTTTCTATTTATAAGAATATTTTATGCCATAAATTGTTTTCCTTATATTCCGTTACATGCTATAGTTATTCACCTTAAAGCCAAACCTGTGTTTGGTATGAGTGTAACTGTATGCCTACGAGTCAAAAATTTCACTCGTAGGTGTATACCGTAAAATAGTAGTTCTTTTTACATATAATAGTTCAAATAAACTCGGTAATGGCGTTTTGAAACTAACCTCACTAATCATTTATCAAGATGAATACTCTTTTGAAGTTTAATTGGCAAGGATTAATAAAAGCTGCTTTTCCGCTTCGTACATTATCTCTTTTTCCAAAATTGCAATTAAAAGAAAGTAGGTGACGATTTATTTCAGAGTGCGCCTTTTAAAAGCTTGTTAAATTGTAGTACAAGAAGTGCAAGAAGGCAAATCTTTAATTATAAAAGGCGTGAATGTTCCATCAGGACGCGAACCGTTTCTCTTAGAAACTGAGAACGAACTTTGTCCAATTTGCAGTTCGGGCTTAGAAGTTAAACATACCGACGTGTTGATAATAAGTCAGTTTGTCAGATCAGATGGATGCATGCTACCTCGTCGCGTAACTGGATTGTGTAGGCGACAACAAAAAAGGATGTCCATACTTGTAGCCATGGCACAAAAAGCAGGTAATGGCGTTATAAATATTGTGAGTTCTTAAATTCAGTTCACTTGCAGGACTAATGCCAAATCTCACTCCCGCTACAAGTAAGAAAGATCCAAAGAAACGATTTGGATGGAAAAGATACAACAAATATTTTGATGAAAGTACAATTAAAATTAGGTAAAAGCTGTGGTTTATTTAAGAAATGTAAAATACAGAAAATATCTTTTTGGTTTTAATCTTATAATGTTGATTGGCCTTTTAATACATCACTAATACAGTTCCAGCCCTCTGAATTTTGACTCCACAAAGAAACTTTATTATCGCCTCCCGATACAGCTAAAATATTCCCATTCAACGACCAGCTGACATTCCACACAACATCATCAAAGGTATGCATCACGCTCGAATTCCAAGTTTTACAATCTTCGCTGGTCCAAATGATGACTCGTCTGTCTTGGGAGCAACTTGCTATATAATGTCTACTAATACCAATCGAAGGGGCCCAAGCAACATCACGTACCCAATCAGAATGCACCTCCAATTTATTCACTTCTACCCATTTGTCACCTTCTTCTTGCCATATTTTTACCAAATTATCACAACCTCCAGATACCAAACGTTTTACGAATTTTTCCTCCTGGCCATTATCAAAAGCAGGCTCAGGGGTGACAGCTGGACTCCAGCTAACAGCGTTGCATCCGATCGCGTGGGCGTTTTGTATCTTTTTCGCATCCCAAGTATTTGTTTCCTCATGATACGTCAGAATTGATATACATCCATCACTGCTGCCACATGCTAAGGCTAGACCGCACTCAGGTGGTGCGAACTGGACTGAGTTGACGCTCGAATCGTGATTGGCGTATTCGTAGTACTTCGTCCACTTACCTTGCTGCTCCTTCCATATTATCACTTTGCGATCGTACGAGCACGAAGCTAGAAGATTGCCAAACTTCGGATGACTCCACGCTATCTGCCATACGGGTCCGAAGTGAGCCTTCAAATCTTCTAAGAGAGTATGGGCACCATTCTTAATATCGTAGATCTTGATAGAGTTGTCCGATGAACATGTAGCTAAACGAAGACCGTAGAAGTCGGTTTCGGCATCGTGGATCATATCTTCATGGCCAGTGTCGATGGAATTTAAGACTGTGACCATTTTTTTTATAAATATTTAATACAACTTTTTATAACCAAATTTATATTTGACGTGGAATTGGAAACGAAAAGTAAATGGTGCTGCACTAGCGTCATCTACCGATTTAGTTCCTGCCAGAGGCGGCACAAGCAAAAATTTGCATTCGAAATGGGAGAATTGCACGGACCTCTGCATTTTTTGAGATTCTTAGAGAATTGTCATCTACGGGTAATTAAGAGAGAAAAGTAGTGATTTATAGAGCTCTCACCAGAACAGAGAACATCCTTAGCTAAAGCGATCTGAAAAGATACTACAATAATCTGGAAATGCGCTAGATCAGTCTTCATGGTTTTGTGATAGCTTTCGAATGCCCTGAAGAACATGTTCAGGGTGGTTCAAATTCGTGGCTTACCATTGGGATCTCCGTAACGGTGAAAGATACATTGTGGGTTAAATGGGAGAAAAGTTTATGTCACTAAAGCTGGATTCACATGAATACAAAATCCGACGATACGGTAATCCGAAATGCTTATGATTGGTCAATAATTTGAAATGTGCTTGACATTTCAAACTATTGACCAATCATAAGCATTTCGAATGACCGTATCGTCGGATTTCGTATTCATGTGAATTCAGCTTAAAACAACGCTTTTGAAATTTTTGAAAACATCTTAGCCCCTCGAGTAGCGTGTAGTTTCTACATCTAGCGTGTTATGGAAATTCTGATAAAAGATTTTTACCATCCTGTACAAGACCTTGAAATGCGTTTAAAAAGTTTTCAGGATTCTATAGTCCTTCTATACTAGGAAAGACAAAGACTAAAGACTAAAAAACCGCTAATGAGTTTAAATAATACTTAGAAAATGAAAGTTTAATCTTTGTAATAACTAATAAATAAATGTTGAAATAAGGAATATCCCAAAACATAAGTATGAAACATAGTACTCCGCCACTGGTTAAAACAGAGACATTCCGGAATAATGTCGCCAACATTATTTTGGTGATAAGTAGAAGTCACTATCAAAGGGTTTCAGATCTCCACTTTTTCAATTTTTGAGAAGAAATTGAAATTAGTACATTTTCCAAGGTAGTTCTTAACTAAATTTACTAATTAAGCAATCAAATGAGTCTAGTAACTCAGTTAATTTAATGTGTTTTGCTGAATTCTAATTGGTTATGTAACAATTTTCAGATGCTGTCTAACCAAACTCTTTTGGGGCTTAAAAATTACTTTAAAGTCGTTGTAAACCAGCGGAATTTAGGTGTATTTGCTCCGGCGTTTAACAAGGCTTCCGATCCCATTCAACAGCTTTTCTTGGATAAAATACGGGAATACAAAAACAAAAGCGGCGGGTACTCATGATCATTTTTCGTTAGCAGCTTTGATGACGTTCATTTTAGGGGTACCAAACTTGTGGATCCCTCTCCGGACATTCAAAAGGAGTTAACTTCGGAATTGGAAAAACTCTCCAGGCAGTATGGCGGTGGAGCAGGAGTGGATATGACGAAGTTCCCCACTTTCAAATTCACTGATCCTGCTATAGATTCCATCAAATTCGAATCTAAGTAAATTGTAGCCCACATGTAAATTATAGTGTAAAAGAACTTTATTAAATTAATGCTAATACATTCTCAATAAACTCCTTGACGATCTTCATGTTAAAAGTTTTCGCAAGTTTATAAAATTTTTCTAGTAATTTCACAAAGTCTGCTTTTGGCAGTAGACCCATAAATTCACTGGCACACTGGCAACGCATCATCAGATTTTCCATTTTGATCTACAATTAATTTGGTTAAACTGAGAGAAAGGAATTGCTGTACAAACCTGGCCGCATTTTTTACATTGCATATCTTGTAAATTGTAAGCCAAAAACTTTTTATTAATAATTTCTAAAATAAGGCCTTCGATTTCATTGTTATCGTAATCTGTATTACACAAGGGACACAGCCACGCAACATCACTTCTATGAGGATCCCTGCCTAGATCTAAATCGCGACAGTGATTACAAGCTTTACATATAATTTGAGGCACAACAAAAGATACTGTACGATCAATCCATACAGCTTTTTCTGAAAATTCACCTACACCTGGAAACCAAGTGTTTATTTACCATTAGAAATAGTTAAAACCTCTACCAATAAGTTTCAACAAATTGCATTTTAAGTTGTACACCTCGTCGTGTACTGCAGGATCGAGATCCAAAACATGGCAAATTGCATTAACAAATTCAAGAGCAGGCGAACAATCATCAATCTTTGCGGGTAACCGATTGAAAATCCTTTCCACAATTCTGAAATTAATTAATTTAGATACCAAATGAAATTATAATAATACCACATTGATTAGTTGAATTAATGGAAAACCACACCCACCTGAAGAGATTTTGACTAACTTCCCCTTCAATTAGTTCCTTAGCGTAACTTGTTACAACTTCATTCGCCCCCAAACCGAGTGACGGTTGACTAAGACCCACAACAATACTATCATTACAATCAGTCTCTCGAAGTTTCATATAAATTGCATTAATATAGCCAGCTATAATCGCATTAAAATTATGTCGACACCCCCCTGCCTCGGGAAGTTGCTCTGCCAAATTCCAATTCATCACAATCACAGGCTAAAATTATTCATTCCAAACTTGAATAAAGTTAAATGCCTTACCTCGTCCTCATTCACAACATCTCTATTCGTGGTTTCTATTCTTTCTTGGACCTCGCCTGCTTCGCCTTCAAGACCTGCAGGTAATTTTCCCTGAATTCCGGCGAAGTTTGTAGAATCGAGCCAAATTAGTTGCTCCCAACACTTGCTACAATAGAGAAAAAAACCTTTGATTATATACTAATACTACAAAGGAAAAAACTCCTCAGCAGTTATAACTATTTTTTGTGCTTTTTTAATCAGCTGGTTGATGTTAGTTTCTACAACTACCACTGTTTTATCAGCACAGCTAAGACTAGCAGGCTGTTCTTTTTCTCCCGCATGATGAACAGTACGTATATGTTCATTAATGGAATTTAGGTGCCCAAGAAAGGGGTTGTGCTGCACGATCTTACCGCATTAAATGACTTGAATATCAACAAAAACAGGCTCATGTTTGAAAGTGCTAGTTAGTTTTGAATCAGCGTAACATTGATTTATGTGCCCTCTATTTCACCTTCAGTTATGCTCTCTCTTTCACTATCAATTCTGCCCTCACCTGCCTTTCACCTTCAATTATGCCCTGCGTTCAAGTTTGATCTTGGGTTTTTAGCTTAGACAACCACCACGATCAAATGACCTTCAGTGACACTTTAGTTTGGACAAAAACCACGCTTGCACGTGGCGCATGCGCAGACCACAAGGTCGAAGTGTGTGAGATATAAGATGTCTTTACATACAGTACCTACCTATCTGCATAGTTTTTGAATGAAATTATATTTATTTTTGTGTGACATATACTAAAATATAAATACATGTCACACAAAAATGATCATAGATTACCTACCTATAAGTAATTTGTAAAGAGTGAAACAATTCCTTATTCCGGATGGAAGTGATTACAAATTCGGCATTAGCAAGAGCATCTTCAACCAAGCGTTTCTTGGAACAAAGTATGATCTTATTAAAATTGGCGTATATTATTGTGCAACCTAATCTTTTAAACTCCGCCACTAACATCATGAACAGCTTCTTCATCAAATTTTGCAAATTACGCAACAACGCTGGATCATACAGTAACGATTTTTGTGATCGAAGCCACCTGTTAAAGGTAGCAAGTTAGAAACAGCACTTTCTATCAGAGTATACTTAGTTACCTGTAGAAATGGATAACTTGAAAATCAGCAAATCTATTCCTGTAAAGGGAAATATCGCGCATCCAAATAGTTGCCATTGTGCGCAATATTCGAAAAGCTTCCCCACAACGTGCCGTTTCGTCGTAACCACAATTCATATTGCCACTGATTAACTCATCTAACGAAGGGGGAACTGCAGCGTCAAAAGCAGTGGCGGAGCTCGTTCCCTCAATATCTGTAATATGATGTGCTTGAAGCAAGGTGTTAATCGCGAGACTGTCGATGTCCAATTCAATACAGATACTCGAATACCATCCGGGCTTATTACACAGTTCACTAGACTCCTCCTGCGACTCCGCCAAGAGCCTGAAATTACAAAGAGAATAAAGACAAAATTGCATTGATCGCATTACCGGGCATCGCTTTCTTCGCTGCCACCTAAATCTGGACGATCCGAATTTGAACACCATAAGACATGATTTTGTTTGATCAAGTGCCTGGCAAAGAATAAATCGGATGCGAATAACGTCGGATCGGTTGGTAGATTTCCTATTGGTAGGTGATAATAACGACATTGCTCGGTGATGAATTCTAAAACCCTCTCGCTGTTCAGATAATGTCGAATCAAAGCTTTTGCGCCAATCCGTCGCCAGTCAATACTGTTATATAAATCGTCTACGTCCTAAATCAAAACTTTCTTTAATTATTTCTTGTATTCCAATTATAGACCAACGTTCCATACATTATTAGTGGTATAGCACAAATTCAATAACACAGCATAGTGTAAAAAATAGGATAGTGAGATAACCTCCATGAATCAAACAAAATCTCGATGATGTCGGTCTGTCTGTACTCTCATTACCCAAGGTTGGTATATATATACCAACCTTGCTCATTACCGGCTAAAACGACTGATCTGATTGGATACAAATTCGGGACACATATTCTTAGATATAACAGAACTTTGTGCTTGAGATGGACCATAACATACTGTTATGTACCCCACGTTGGGCGCCAAATAAAAATGCTATGAGCCCCACGTATGGGCGCCAAATAAAAATGCTATGTGCGATGGCAACGGTCAGTAAAACCACCCACAAGCGCCTGTCCAGCTAGGTCAGGTACTAAAATAAGTATAATGGTTCCACGGTACTGTGACCAAGAAAATTTAGAAGGAAGGGAAGAATCTATCATTACGGTTCCAGCTGCTCTCGGTGGTATGGGGTGGTTCGACGAAACTGAAAAAAACTGCTCGGAGAATGTAGGCGCCACTAATTTTTATTAAATTTGGCCGTACAGGAAAAACTAGAACCCTGCTCCTGGTGACCTGGCAATGCAAGACAAATAAGGAGGAGAAAATAGAGAAATGTAGTGAAATAGGAATATTTTTATTGTAGGGCGAATGATGGTGAATGAGAAATGGCAGTGGAACGATAACAGGGAATTAAGGAAAAAAAAATCACGGAACGAGATCTCGTCTCACAGTAAGACACAAAAGTGACTAAAATAATTAATTAAACGAATGGTAAGATGACTGAATTAATGGTTTTTTTTAAAAATTAAACTTAACAGGCAATCATAAGTGAATAACGGTGAATTGGAAGGTGCTTAGCTGTTTTCCTGGCTCCTGAAGTTGTCCAGCGGTTGTTCGGCAGACTCGGTGAGTAGACCAGTGGCTAAGTGTGGGGAAAATAAGGATAGGGAAGAGGGTAGAAGGGATCAAGTGGAAAGCAATTTGAGGGTATCGATAGAAGACTGAAGACGGACGACGAACGAGGAAGACGAAGAGTTTGAAGCAGTACGGTACAGGTATAATAAATAAGAAGGGAAAAAATACAAGGACCCAAAACAAGACCTAAAATTGCAAAGCAAAACTATCACGAAAAGGCTACTTACTAGATGGTGTGGGCCTTAAATGTAGAAACAATATAATATTTTGGGTGCTATAATTGGTGGTAGTAAATTAACGCTCGGATCCTAAAAAGGCAACGAAAAAATAGAAACGACACTGAACAACACGAATACTTACAAAAGGGGTTGAAATCCGGCGAGCAAGAGTTAAAATATTTATATTGATTGTACTAGGAAACACAAGTGCGCCTCTCCACTACTCTTGATCCCCAAAATAGGGCTTAAAAGGACGGATACTAAATCCTTTTTGTTGAGTAGGGTGACTTTTAAGAGGGTAATATCCCAAGAATTGTTGGATAAATGCGGCTATAAAAATTTCGTACCTCACAAGCACACTACAGGAAAATGACAATTATCGAAAACGGAAAACGAAACGTAGAAGATTTTCAAAACAACGAACAGTAATACCAATAATTAAGGAACATAAAAAGTTAGCGGGAAAAGAAGAATAGATTTTTGAAAAGAGCGGGAAAGAATAGCGTAGTTTAGACGAAATACCAACAGATGGCCCTGAAACGAATCAGAGGCGTAACATGGAATAAAATAGTACACATATGCTTCGAAAATTAGAATAGTGAAAACAGTAAGGAAAGAAGAAGCGTTTAAAGCGTGAAAAGGTAAATACAATCGTAAGAAGAGGGCAAGAATCGAAAGAAGAAATTTAAGAAAATGGGTACGCCTATGAGATGAAATTCAAAACAAAATAAACAAATTCCTAACCTAAAAAATCAAAATAAATAACGCAAAACTAAACTAAAAATGGACCTGTAACAGTACGTCTACGTTTCAACATCAATCAATCAAATACGCTGAAAGAAATTATTTATTGTCCCTCGCTTGTTCTGGGTCCTCCACAGGCTTTCGCCCGATTACCAGAGTGACCCACAAAATGGGAGTCAGATAAAATACTCCACCAACAAGTGATCTCGATTAAACAAATTAAAGTTAAATAAAGTTAGACGGCAAGATATTCAGCACAACGAGCAGTAATGCATCGTGAGGCCTTCTGTTAAGGTTTCCTTGTTATTAAAAGTTAAAAGTTTGTACCGTCCGAACAGCCGCCGGCAATTAGTCATTTTATTGATCAAGTTAATGTTCTTTTGTCATCAAGTTTTATGTTTTAAAGAAAACTGAAGTTCGGAAGCTGTCAGTGTTTGTTCACCTTTTATAGTTTAAAAGTTTACTTCTCAGTTTAAATACTCAAAATTGTTAATGTACTACCTGTATTGTAATTGTTTTTTACGTATTCTACATAAGATAACTTATCTGTGAATAAAAAAAGATTATTATTATTAATATTATTATTATTATTGTGTGTGCCAAGTTAAGTGCGCTTTGTTATCGCAAACCTTTGCACGACCAGATTAGAATTATTAAAGGAGAAAAAAAAGTAATTTTATTGGTTCAACACCTGCGTGCGGGGTACCTAACTTGCAATACTAGCATAGTGCAAATCGCCACTTTTAAACTTTTAAAATTGCCTACAGCGCTTTCTTTTGAAATTGTCACGTCCAAAACTATGAAATCCCAATGTCGTTTTTCTTTGTAAAGCCGTCTTACTATTCTATTTGTTACACTACGTGTACAGGTGCAGAAAAAAAAATAAGTGACACTTTGACTTACTTTAACATGAATATGAGCCTGAGGAAATTCAGTAAGAACGGGTACGCCATGTTGTAGCTGCAAAGTATCATCTAAAGTTTGTATGGCTAGTAATGTGGGCCCTTTTTTCTCGTCCCTATAGGCTTGTAGGTGTTTTTGAAGCAACTTATGCACTTCCTTTACGTCTGTCTCGATGCGCACCATTATTTGTAGATCTTCCGGTGGTAGTTCGATATCTGGATTTCTTTCTTGTCTAAAATAAAAAAAAAGTCCTCAACTGACTTGGACACGAGAGACTTACTCTGCAATACGTTCCGCCTGATAAATTGTCTTCAAGTTAGGCATTTCGTTATGGCGAACAGTTTCGACTACAATTATGATCGCTTTTTTAATCGGTGTGAGAAATAGACCGAAAAATTGCCGCTTGTCGCTGTTCGAACGATGCTGATACAGAAACAAGTGCTTTAAGCTATCTTTCGGTAGGTATGGCTGCTTAGAGATGCTCGTCATTTCTAAATCGGAGAGAGAGAATGTATCGGAGTCCATATTTGGAGACTTTGATGTTACCCGACACACGCAACCTAGCTGGACGAAGGCTCTGAAGATGAGAGGTACTTGCGTTTCGTACACGCCCTCTACATTGGAGTTGTTCAATTGCAACTCTCTGAAAGGAGGACAATTATGACAAGTAGGTACAATTATTGCCCAAACTTACTTTCCATATTCTTCAAATAAAGATTCTTGCACAGTATAGAGGTACAGGCAATTTACTTGTTTCGAACGAGGGAGAGTGCGATTGCATTTTTTAAATAACGCGCCCTCGTCTGCACACTTTGGGGTACGTAGATTCGCATAGAACATTCTGGGCACTATCAGCTTAACAATGTGTATTTCTGACTCGACAAGAACCCAGACTAAAAATTCACCCGGGGTATTCGTTTTAACGATCTGCAAAATCTGCCATGGATTTGCAAGCAAAGCACGCTGGGCCTTTAACAGGAAACCTTGTAAGGTACCTGGAGCGGCCGACCTTACAACTGCAGTACTTCCTTTTAGTCTCTTCACTTTTTGCTGCCCTTCCAACCGTTGCAACATTTGATACTTCCACTTCTTTTTTTGGAATGCGAGCCAAGCGTCGAAATCGGCCTTGGTTTCCCCCAAAAGTGGGGGTGTACCTAGTGCTTCCCTCCAGCTTAGAGTTAAATCGAAACCTTCAAATTCATTTTCCTGTTGGCGCTTGCGCTTGTTGACATTTGCAATTGGTTTTTTCAGAGGAGATTTTTTGGTAACGCCACAATCTTCGATGTCTTTCACTTTGGATGTGGGCAAGGTATTAGCAGCGTTTTTCGCGCAAGCAGAGAACATATCGGTTATACGTCTTTGTTTAAAATTATCATCCTTTTCCAGCATTTTTTTGTGTAACCAGTCAGGGTGGCGCACTCTAGGTACTGGATTTGAAACCTACAATGGATGTCATATGATATTACATGAATTAACAAAACACTTACTCCTTGCATAGCAGCTGGAATGGTAATAATTTTTTGAATTGCGCCACCCAAACGCTCAATGTAATAGCTCCAATCTAACAAGTCTCTAATATCAAAATCGTTCAAAGACGAATCCTTTAACCATTTCCGCAGGTAGTACTTTTGAACAGCTTCCTCCGCTTGGAATATCGCTAATGGAATCGCTCTAAAATAGCACAATTGGTTAAATGCATACATAAAACTCCCATCAACCTCTCGGTAACTGGTGCTCCTTCCGGCTTCTTCGAAATAACATATTTGCAAGCAAGTCCGGCATCTTTAACCATTTGATCTCCTAAAAACTCTGCCAAACGCTTCGCAGTACTTATAGATGTACTCTTTTGGGCCCCATAATCCTCAAGCTTGCGTGACATCGATCGGTTTTCCGAGATTAGATCGAATAACTCCGAATCGGGCATATGCCTTCCTTGCGAGTATAAAACGTCCAACCAATAATCGGCGATTTGTGCCACCGCAGCGTAACAAGACTCTAAACTGTCGCCTTTTAAAAATGCTTCAAAAACCGAAGATTGGAAAATTTTAATTAATTGTAGTTCCCCTCTGCGTTTAACCTCAAATCTTTAACAAAATAATGCGCAAAGTACAGAGGAGAAAACGCTTACCCTTTCAGTTCAGCGAGTGAACCGTCAAAATTGAAAACAGCATACCGCTTTTTTAGCTTTTTACCTTCCTCCTTAGAGGCGGGTAAGACCATGGCTCTATATGGACCATCCACCTCAAAAAAAATTGAGTTTTCGCTTTTTTGGACATAGCTCAACGAGTATGGATCGGTCAATTCATGATATTGGTCATTAGTAAAGTTAGCTTTAACCATTGCGTTTAACACAGCGTTTGGATACGAAATATTTAGTTTCTTCTTCTTTTCATCTGAAGTGGTCACCGTAACGTTATCAGGAAATGAGGCTGGAAGAATGCACCAAATTCCGTCAGTATCTAACTCGAGTGGACGTCCTACACGTTCCACAATTTCTCTTGTTTTCATGATTATGTTTGCACCTGTATAGCACACAATTCCCCCCATCTCCATGCTATGCCAGCGTGCCCTAGAAGAGTGGGATAAATACATGAAATAAAAAGGGTGGCACAACGAACCCTCGTCTCATAACGTAACCGTAAAATGAATTCAAAATACATTTGTGGGCTAACTGCAGGGAATCATAGAGGATTTCGCGATTTTTCGCCGATTTTATTTCGGCCGCATTTCCTCCTATTACAGCAACAACTACTTGTTGCTTAGCTTTTTTCGAAAGACTTTTGTACTCATATCTGCAAATAGGTCAATTTAATGCCGACAGTCACCGCCACCCCCTCATTTTTCGATATGAAACTCAACCACGGTATAAGAATCAAAACTAATACATACCTTCTATCTCGAAAGGCACGTACAGTATCAACATAAAATGAGTTCTCCTTCTGGCACACTGTCGACGTACGTTCCTCCATCTTAGTAACCTTCTGTTTTTTATAAACCTTACGACAATAAATTCCCATACGCTTCTTTTCTAATTCCGCCTGTTCCTCTAATTTCAACTCGTGAAACGCACGCTGTGGTCCGTTTGGAAAAAGAGGCGGAAATTTCTCGGTTTCAAGTTGTTGTTGTATACGATGATACTCACTGCGGCTCGCGGGCACTACAAAACTAGGCTAATAAAACTCAACAATACATACAGTTAGTTTCTAACTGTATTCGGCCCTCCACATCCATGCCATTCCACGTTGGCAAGTCGCCCCAGGTTTATTAAAATCACAAGCAGCACAAACAGTTTCATCTACCATTGCGTATGGTTGTAGTCGATTTGTTAAAATTACATTGGGATACATCGCGCCCACGTCTAAGTGATAAATCAGTGGTTTTTCTAATCGCATCGGTTGTTCCTACAATGCCTCTTATAAAAAGTGATTACCGACCTTTACCGCTTCACCTTTAAAGCTTCCAATTTCGTCTTAATTTCATCAGTTACGTTTTGCAAATTGGTTACACAATCTAAAGGGATACCTTCTTCGACTTCAATCGCGTGAGTTAAAGTCTTTGATATTTGCGATATTAAGGTGTCGAGCATCTCTATGTCCAATCGAAAACGACAAGGGATGTCTGCTCGAAAAATACCCGATTCTAAAGCCTCCACATGACCTCCAACGTAGGTTTCCTGATGTAATAGATGACCATCGTCAGTCAGTTTATTCAAAATCGTCTCTTGTTTATTCGGAAATATGACGTTAACTTGAAAAGCTTCCACCATAAGTAGTGCTTCACAAAGGGTACCTAAATCAACAACAAAAATAGTGCAATAAAGATGGCGTTTCAGTTAGGTCAGTACTTCCTCTTACAGCGTCAACTGTAAGTAATTTAACAACTTAATTTTAGTCTGATGATGCGAGAGAGGCCGTTTAATTAGCACGCTGCAGTCTAATAAGGATATGAAAAAATATACAAATTGAATGAGATTGCCGAAAACATTTGTAACAGGGGGTCGTTGGCCGTTAAAAAAAATTGATGTTGAATTTGTATTTTGGTGAACAAAGGGAAATTACATATGTACCGCTTCATAGTGAACGTGAACGAAAGTATGTCTGGCGTTAACAACAAACGTATTGCAGAAAGCGAGCGCGGTTGCCACGGTCTATGGGGCCTAAAAGTTTCGTTTTGTTCTGCTGACCCGAGCACGTGACGGAAATGCGGATTTTCTATTGGTTGCTAGGGCACGCCAGTCAAGGTCGTTTGTTTTCTCGTGGGCGAGAGAGCAAAGGAGTGAGAGCGCACGAGATTCATAGACTAATTCGCGAGAGATCGAAAATTTTTGCTAATACATAAATAGTAACTTAAATTGATCAATTTTAAAGCTACACCCGCATTACTGTTCTTACCTGAGCCTTTTCGTAAGACTTCATCCGGTTCACATGGAATAATTGTACATAAAGCAAAAATGAAAGGATGCACATACTGCATGTACAAATAATAAGTGGCAACAGCATCAGACACAGAATAATTAGAAAGAACCTGCGGCTGGGATGCCGCCAATGGGCACATTTCTTCTGGATCCAACTCAACCGGATCATACCTAAAAAATTGGCATCACATTCAATACTAAACATAGACAAGTAGAAACCTCAATTTAGCCTTGGCTACCGCCTTCAGACCTTGCGATCCGACAGGAAGGTACGAATCTCTCTTCACCCAGCACAGGCAATCCATATGGGTTGCAGCTCTGCACGAATAAATGCCATCTTTGGACTTGGAGAAACCGATCTCCTGCTTCATATCCAATTCGTAAAAGGCAGCGCGTGCCTCAACGAAGGGCCAATCGAAGAAGTCACCGTTGTAGGTTACGAAAATATGCGGGCGAACGTCCATAATGTGATAGAAAAATCTCTGAATCAAGCTGAACTCGTTGGGCTCGTTGAAAATCGTAAACTTTCCTTCGAGTTCAGGCTTCGGTGTATACTCAAAATCCTCTATGTCCGCTGATAAAATCTCTCTATTCGTAATTAGAAATCCTAGAAATAATTGTGACAGTTTGATTAACGTTAAACTAAACGAGGGGTGTCACACACGGAAATGGTGTACAACATTGGGAAGGGGGGTTTGTGGGTGTTATCCGACGCGAACGGGTACGGCCACGCCTATATACGCTTCATGTGTTCTTTTTGGGTCAAACCTAAAATAGTAAAATCAAAATCAGAAAATTTTCTTCCGCATATGAGAAAATTTTCAATTTCAGAATGGCTCTATATTTTCAGAAAAATGTTTTATTAGATCAGCTTCGTTATAACGATGGATGAATAATCTGCCGCTTTCAAAATAAATATGCATACAGCGTAGAATTATCGAAACTATCTCACTTTGTAAATGGAACACCCTGTAGGTATATTTTATTTTAAAAATATAACATTAAATTTTCTTTTCAAAAATATAACATTAAAAAAGTCAATATTGGTCCAAAAAGAGCAAAAAAAGATCTTTAAAAAATTTGGAAAATTCCAAAATTTTTTTCAAATTTTTTGAATCATTTGGACATGTTTTGTATTGTACATTTTTTTAATTTTTTTTTAATCTTTTAAATTTTTTTGAATCACTTTAAGCTGTTTTAATATCATATTTATTGTTATATTTAAAAAAAATACCAAATATATTTTTTTAATTAAAATATACAGGGTGTTCCATTTCAAAAATGAGGTTAGGTCTGATAACTTTTTCAGCTGACCTCGTATACTTGGTTTGAAAACGGTACATATAATTTAACAAACATTATAAGCTTAGGTAATAAACATTTTTCTAAATAAAATAAAAATTTAATAAAAGAACAGTTTTATCCCATAAACAATGGCTTTGTTCTATACTTTCAAGGGATCATTGAGAAAATCATATTTCATTTCCTTCGCCATGATAAAACACAAACCGAGACACAAACACTATTATATAGCGTTACGAATCTTTGGCACAAACTGCATTGCAATCATGTTTAGGAAAGAATGAACAAATTTTAGCTGTATATGGCACTTCATGGAAAACATGCAAACTTGTTTGTATTTCTACTATCGTCGCTATAAAATTTGGGACATTAGAAGTAGGACATTTTAAGCAATTCAATAAAGGAAAAAAGGGTACATATTTTTAAGGCATGAGACATCCCCTCAAAACTAAGCTACCTTGTCCATCAATCATATACGAGATCATCATAATCTGATCGGTGTTCGCATCCGGGAACTTCAGTGGTAATTTTGTAGTTTCAATATCGAAAGCCAAGACAATCGGTTCGGGTCGCTCAATGATGTCAGGTCTGGGCGTAAATAAAGGAGGATGATTTCCTCCCGCCTTACACTTCACTGTATACCATGATCCACAAAATATGCGTAGATCGATCGAGACACGTACATGATATGGTACATCATATTCTCTACAAAGTAAGTTATTAAACTACAAACAAAGCAAATGTAGATTATGTACTTTTAAAAAAAAGGACAGGGCCTAAAATAATCATGAAAAATCTTAGAAAGCTCTAAAAATAGGCCAGAGTACGAAGCTCTGGATAGGACACATAGGAAATTATTTTGTAAATTACAGTTGTAACTGGGAATTATACTAATTTACAGATGTAACTGGGAATTAGTTAATAATTTACAGTTGTAATTGTAATTCCCAGTTACAACTGTAAATTAGTATAGTTCCCAGTTACAACTGTAATTTACAAAATAATTTCCTATGTGTCCTATCCAGAGCTTCGTACCAGAGAGCTCTGAAATCAGACTTCAAAACTTTGGACTCTGAATTCAGACTTCTAAACATAAATTCCTACTTTAATAGTTTAAACTAAGACATAAACACAACTTTAAATTCACCCATTAAAGTCTGATTATAAAACAAATCTAAATGCGCCCCTTCCAAGCGTGCAACTCCATTCAGAGTTTACCTTATGTCAAGAATGTTCTCCAGATGATCTGTATTTAAACTTGTATGCGACGACTCAGTAGTGTTTTTAGCAATATTTTCCACAACTAGCGCTGCATAGTGGCAGTTCTGTTCTTTGCGCTTTCGATTTTTCCTAACCACCGTTAGAATGTCTTTTCTAACTTTAATGCAATCATTTTGACTAACAAACGACAACTTTAAATAGCGCTGCTTTAATCCGATCAAGTGGTTAGGCTGAAATCTTACAGTTACTAACGGTAAACTACACGTCTACGTTACGTACTAGGTCTAAATCTTCTTTAACTACTTCTTCAATACTGTCAATGGTACCAGCGTATTTTTTAAGTAGGTACATAGAAACCTCGTGAAGTAACTCTCGCTGGGTCAGAATGTAAAAATAGGGTTTGAACGGGTAGGATACTTTAAACCGTGTACCATCCTCTTCCATAAAGTAATAGTCGACCGCCGATATAAGCCTTTTATCATCATTTAAGATCTCATTCTAGAAAGTAAGTGTGATACAACTCACGCGAGCTTACAACACGTGGGGCTTACAGTGTGTATGTTCAACAGGAAACCGGTTCGTTCTTGGTACTCTGTTATTCTTACAAACCCGTACTTTGTATCAATCGCATCATTTTCTTGCGCTTGTCGTAATCTCAGTTCAGAAGTTTCTTCCCTAAAGACACAAATGAGTAGTAGAAAATTAAAGTGATTCTAAATTACCTTCTAGCATTGGGAACGTTTTCATTGTTCTGATTCTCTGTACGCTTTTTTCTAAATTTATTTGGAAACATAATGGAAATTCTCTATTTCTTTTTCCTAACCTTCTACCATGACATTTATTTTGGCGGTAAAACTATCGAAATAAAACAGTGTTGCCAAATCAATGAGATCATATTACACAGATGTAGGTACTTTCCTTGTCGAAGTGTAGGTACTTGCTCGTGATGGTTTTGTATAAAAAAAAGGTTTTTGCAACAGGTATGTTACTCATATAAATATAACAAATACTAAAGTCAAATTTTATTAAAGTATTTTTTAATTTTGTCGTTTTAATACCAGGTTGTACCTCAATAAGCGCTATCCGGTATGGTCTAGTGGCTAGGATACCTGGCTTTCACCCAGGAGGCTCGGGTTCGATTCCCGGTACCGGAATTTTTTTATTTTTACTATTAGTAACTAATTTTTTTTCATTTCCCTATTATTAGTGACTATCTTATGTCTTCAAAATGAGCAAAGCAAATGTCAACACAATTTTACCCCGATTTAAAATGAATTCAATAACATATGATATACAGGGTGTTACATATAAATATGTAAAAAAAATTGGGAGGTAGAAGAGATCAAAACACGCACTTTTTCCAAATAAACCAAGGGTCTAACGTGTTTCTCAGTCACGTCTGCAAATAGGTTTTGGGGTATGCCCTTGACAACGGCTTTTTGATCAAATTTTTGATATGTATATTGGGCATACGGAAATGAGAAATAACTGGTCGGATTGTTGAAAAAGATTTGGAGCGAAGCAACGGCATCTAACGTTTTTTTTTTTCAAATATAGCAACCTGTAGAGTACTTAATCCCCAGGTTCTACACTAACTGTACAGTATACAAGCACACGGAAATAAAATCAACCCGGGTATTCCCAAGACTATTCCCTCCAAAAGCAAACCAGAATCCTACTTAAGTTTGAAATCAAAAAGTGGCACATGATCAAACATCTAAAGCAGGGCCATCATAAGTTAGTTGTAAAAACAACGCTATGACCTGAAGTGCAGGAGGGAAGAAACGTAACATTTGTAAAAAGTTTGTTTGATAATTATTGCTCATATTATGAAGATTGTGAAATTCGGAAATTTAAGTCGAAATAAATTACATTGCAAGAATAAACTTTGAAAATGGTAGTTCACCGAATAAAAATAAAAATACGCTGAGAAAAAAAAGACCTTATAGTTGTGTAGCAAAATTAATTGTTTATAACGATACGAATGCATAACATAAACTTATACAACCACATCATAGCATGTAGACTTTGAGAGGGGACTTATAGATTAAAAACAAGTTTTGGGAGCAATGGGTCAGGTAAGCAGGTACCAAGATTCTGAAAAAGGGTGAAATGTACAGAATGTCTCATCTTTGAGGCAATAAAATCCTTCTGCCAAGAGCATGGCCTTGGGGGCCAAATTCAATGTTAAAACAAAATATGTGGAAATCAGTTAATCGCAACTCATAATATCACACATAGATTCTAAACCGAAGAGTTTTTATTAGCAGAATCTCACCCCCGAGATAGATAACTCACCAATCGTCCCGGATTTTCAAGCCTACAGTTGATTGTCGACGTCAGTCCCTGTAATGAGTGTGTCGGAACTCATTCGGTTACAGTTTTTGCCAAACCCCGTGACCATCTCATCAAGGCGAAACATTACACCAAAAATGAATGCGATTTCAAACAAAGGGTTAACGGTATCAAACACATGAATCTACATTGAGGTTAAATTAAGTCAACGTCAAAATAAAAAAAATCACAAAAAATATATTGCATATCCACATCATTTCCTTTCTGGCAGCTGCATGTCAAAGCGTCAAATATTGTGTCTGGTTACCTTTAAAACTAAAGACGTGGTTGAATTAACAAAAACGACTGCAGAAATATATAAACTAATTAATAAAAAGCTAGGTCAGGAGGAATCTAATAGGATTGAAAGAAGAAATAAAAAAACACGCCCATGTTTATTGAACGTGTTCATTTTGAGTATAAAGGCTAGCCGCAAATACGATATCACGTTTAATAGAGGCAGAGGCTTCTTCCATTTTGGTGTAAAGTTTTGGATCGCCAGTTAACCGGGCGACATCTCTCACATCGCAAATCGTTTCATTTAACTGCTGAATGCACCGCACGATTATCCCCTCTTGAACCTCCGTCAAATTCATTAAGGTTGCAAATGGCTAAAGCAAACAAGATGCAAAGATGTAAAGTTATCAGTTGCACTTACGTGCCCATTGGCCCACTCGTACACTACTTCTACAAGTTCAAAATTCAAATCTCTGGAGGGTTCGCTAACTTTGTCAATCTCGAACTTCATTTCCAAATCCTGTATTTCTTTGTGCACCTCTTTAATTATACGTTTTCCCTAAAAATCATGATTCAGTATGAATTAAGCGCTACTTAGCCTCACCTCTACTAGAGGTTTTGTAAGGTTCTCATTTAGTTCATTATCATCTTGCTTGCTTTTAACTTGATACACCAGCGCAGATAGTAAAGCGGCAACTTCAGCCGGTTGTAAGTCAGTAAACACATTTCTTAACACCAATTCAGTTATTAACAGTTCATTCATTCCAATTTCACAAGCAACCTTCCCTTTCAATTCCACTGAAATCGTTCATTTAATAACCAATAGGTCAGTATTAAAGTGCAATTCCGACTACAGCGGATACGTCCGGAATTACACTTATTTTACCTCGATTTGAAGAGTTAATATAATTCAATTCCTTCAAAAGCGCAATTCTTCTCTCATATTCGGGATACAATGACATACTTTCATACGACAATTGGAACTTCAAATCGTCCTCCTCATCCTCGAGCGACTTCTTTTTGAACACAATATGAAACTGCTCTTCAAAATTTGGAATTTGGGTACTACTGATGCAGTCTATCAACCCTTCCTTCAACTTCTTGTACTCTAGCAAACACTTATGCAAGTCGAGATCTTTAACCACCATATCTAAGTAGGTTAGTCTGTTGGCATTACTTTTATCCGAGACGTTCATCGTTAATTTTAGCAACTCCTGCACGGCGAATTTGCAACGCTCACTGGGAGGATCGTCTTTAAATCTAGGTATCTGTCTTTTATCCCAATCGCTAATTACAAATGAGTATTCAACATTAATCATAGCAGAAGTGATTTCAAAAATATCCTCAGGTTTAATTTTTAATACCTCATGGCTGCAAGAATTTTCAGGATAATAGACACGGTCCGATGCTAGTCCCAACATTTTATAATAATTATCAGATTTCTCATCCGATTCAGAGGAACCTGTGTCTGTTAATACCAATACTCTGTACAGATCTGATGACTTACTCGGAGTGGTCAGTATTAATGCTAGCTTATTAACGTGAGACTTGTGTGTGATCAGAATAACTCGTCCAGTAGTTAATTGTTTTTGCATCGTGGGAGTTATGACAATTTGCTCCTAAAAATTAAGATTTAAAACAATGTACGTAAACCACTAGCTTCTAAAATTGAAAGCCAAGTATACAGACAACAAAAAATTTTGTACCGTAAAAAGCAAATTTTGTTGCAGTATTTTTTGCTCCTAAGATCAATGTGTTCTAACTTGCTACACCTCCAAGTGTACACATTTGTATCGACATTTTATGTCAATTTCGTATTGTAGTAGAAATGAATACCTACAAGATTAATAATGTAGAGAATTTTCTAGAGCGATACCAAGGCGCCATGAAGTTGATCTAGAAGCTTTTTGTTTACTGGATAAGCAAAATTAATTGTGTTTAGTCTTAGTTCATTATCAATACGGAAGTGATAAATAGTGAAATTTGCGCTAGTAATTTGAATACACGTAAGTGACAAATAATAATTTACAGTTGTCAATCAATCTATTTAAAGACCGTTATAAATTAATTAACAATGAATTGGTCATAAATAAATCACCAGAATTAAATTTACCATTTACGTTGGAAATCCGAACAGAATTATAAATATTTTGATATCATTGGATATCTGGCGCTGCAGGCTTTTTTACCAAAAACTTATGAACAACAAAATATCTGTGTCTCAAAAGATGAACTTCCAGAAATTCTAGTGTCATTTCGATTGTCTTGAAAAAGGTTAAACATTATTTTGTGCTACATCAACTGGTCAATTTTCTTCTAGAGAGCTAAATTAGAATTCGCTTGAGTAGAAAATAGTGAAAACAGTGAAAGTGACTTATTATTTGGTAAACCTGTTCTGTATTGGAAATGAATCAATACACTTACCATTAAATCTTGATGATAATCCAAAAATGTTCTTACAGTCAAGTAAAATTTAACCAAAGGCTGCATGTGCTCATTTAACTCGTGTCTATTTTCAATCTCTAAATTCTTAGAAACCGTCTCTAACTTTGTTCGAATTTGACTCATTTTTTTCTGATGGTCTGCTTCCCTGAAGCTTCGTGACATCATGCCCTCGACACTTAAACTTTCCACACGTAAAAGTGTTAACACCTGTAATAAGCTATCAATCATGCATATTCAAAGAATGGCGCTTACCATGCCATAGGTTATTCGAAATTGACTCTCTAATTGATTCGGTTTACCCATCATCATCCTCTTCAAATCTTCAACTGGATGCAAGTTAACTTTACACAGAATGATTACGGTGCCTGTTTCGTCTAAACCTCTTCTACCTGCTCGTCCGGCCATTTGGATGTATTCTGCGGGAAGTAGGGGTCGTAGTGACTGACCGTCGTGTTTCTTAATTGAATCAAAAACGACGGTACGTGCAGGCATGTTTACGCCCATTGCAAATGTTTCGGTAGCAAATAAGAGCTACAATTTATACTGGATTTATTTCTAAATTAATACCCCTCACCTTAATATATTGGCCTTGAAACAACATTTCGATCATCTCTTTTATTATAGGCAAAATCCCGCTATGATGCACCCCAACACCTCGACTCAAAATTTCCTTCATATCCAAAATTTGGGGAATATCTCGGTCGGGTGGTTTTAAACTGGCTATGCACCGATTGAAAAATGAATTAATGTAATGCTTTTCGTGAGCCGTTGTCAGATCTAAGTGCCTCAAACTTCTGGCATTTTGATCGCATTTATTTCTGGAAAATGTGAAAGCAACAACTGGAAGTAGTTTATTTCTACTTAAATGATCTACAAGTCCATTCCACATATACTGTTCCTGTTTGGGATTATAATTTCGTTGTGGCGGACCTGAAGCTTTGTGCTCCTTAGGTTTAGCTAGAGAAGCTTTTGCTTCATTGTACCTATGAATGGACATATTAAATTATTTTTCATGAAACAGAAACGTAATTCTTGTTGAAAATAATTACTTATTCGACAAATATGTTACCAAGCTAGTTAATAGATTAGTTAAAAGTAGTTGACAGTCATAACTATGGTTTTCAGATAACATTGCTCAGTGATGGTAGAAGCAAAGAGTTATGGTTACTCTTTGGTAGAAGTATTATTAAATAATTAGAGTATGACCAATTAATGGAAGGGTGATCAGCTGTTCGGAATCAGTGGTCATTTGCTATAGTGCAAAAATTAATACGAGCTTAGTGAAACGTTGGTCCTATAGTTAAGGGCTAGGTGAATTAAAAAAGCTCCATTAACGAAATTGTAGACTGTCTCATTAATCATTATGGGGATATGCGAGGGGATATGAAATAAGCTAGTGTTGTTTTTTTTAAAGCGTGTGATGATTTTATTAACCAGCCTGCGATTGTTTTCAGCAGCTCGCCAGCATTCTCACCGGAAGCTTTTCAACTCAAATCAATACCTTAGGAATTCGACAGTGTGAATTCCGTTGTTAGTATTTTTGTATAGTGATGTCAAAAATCGAATGTACACATTAAAACTGTTAACCAGGCTTTCTCGCATCATGTTCCTTTGCCCTTTTTTGACATTTAGGTTAGTGACAATTAATTCAAGCGTTTGCTTTTAAAACCCTAAGTTACAATGGTGGGTACATTCTAACATGACATTGCGAGGCATCGGTAATGTATTACTGTGGGTAGCTGAAAGTTCAACTAATCAAATCATCGTAAGCCTGAAGCACAGTTTATTCCTGAATTAAATTTCATCAACCATCTTTCGAAAAAACGATTTTGAGAAATGTGGAATACTTTAAAATAGTACAGAATACCTCATACTGTGGAATACTCAATGTGCAATAATTGGAAAGTTAGTGTATCTGGAATATAACAGCGGATCACCCATCACCATTAATCTTTGATTCATTAACCTATTCTAATGATTTTGAAACAAAAAATTGATATTAAATTTGACCATCAAGGGACTTACCCGGCAATACGAAACACCTCATTATGATCGAGAAGTAGATATCGATTATTTCGACTGGCACCACCGCATCCAGTGTACAGATAATGCTGTAAAGGTACGGGCCGCTTGGCCGTTTTGATCACGTAGACCTTACGCTGATAGATCTGACCTAACCAGTCGGCAAATTCCATTGTATTGGGAACAGTGGCGCTTAACATCACGACACAAACATGCGCGGGTAGCATGATGAGCACCTGTTCCCAAACGTGCCCCCTTTCCTTATCGTTCACATAGTGCACCTCGTCGAAAATGACGTACTCCAAATCTCGCGTGACGTCGCTACCCGCATACAGCATGGAACGCAAAATTTCGGTCGTCATAATTAAACAAGAGCCCTTCATGTTAATTTGAAAATCGCCGGTTACAAGACCAACGTCATTAAATTTCTTTTTAAAATCGCGATATTTTTGATTTGATAACGCCTTTATAGGCGAGGTATAAATTGTGCGCGTCATATGACGCTGGGACAATGCTATGGCGTATTCGGCAACAACCGTTTTACCGGCAGACGTGTGTGCAGCTACAAACACGTGATTATGCTGTTCCAACTGTAGAATGGCCAACTTTTGAAAAGTGTCCAGTTCAAATTCATACTCCAAAGCCATTTGTGGAATACGTTCCCTAAAATCTTTAACAGGCTTCGAGGTATCCAAATTTACAGCCCACTCCAAATTGCGAACCTTTTTCTTTTCAAACTCAGAAATCTTAAGCAGGGGTACATCTTTAGTCACAGCCTGAGACAAAACATCTTTTTCTTCTGGAAGTTCACTCGTTTGTAATTGTACATCCTGCGAATGATCAGTCTCGGGACTCTTTTCAACCGTTTCCCATAAACCAGAAAAATGTTGCTCATTTAAAATGTCTAACAAATTCACTACGTTGCCTTGCTTCACTTGCAATTCGACACTCTTATCAATTTTTTCTTTAACTCTACATCCATCGTCCTCAAATAGTAATCCAAACTTAAATCCCGGTGGAATCACCAATAAATCTAAAAATTCCCTCTTATATCATAGTCTAAAGAGTAAAATAGTGAGATGATCTCGATCTTATGGAAAAAAAGAACACTGATTTTGACATTGAGATTTCAAAGTTCTGGGCGCGATAACTCTGAAAGGGGTACACAGCCTAGTGATCGACTTCCGGGTGTTTTTATACAGGCTGTTTCAAATTCGAGGGCCACCATGGGGATCTCAGGAACTGTAAAAGATAGGTAGAGTTTAAATTCGGCAAAGTTGCGTATTTATTTGCTTAACAAAATGCAGTTTTGAAACTTAAAAATTCCTACTACTTTCGGAGATATCCGGAAAACATCGAAATGTGGCAAAATCATTTTTATTTTTTATTGTATCTGTATCAAATAACACAAAAAGTAAAAATTACTTCCTATCTACCTATCTCTTACAGTTACCGAGATCCCCATGGTGGCCCTTAAATTTGAATCAGCCTGTCACCTATCAATATTAATGTAATGTAGGTATGTCAAAAATAATTTTACATCTTTCGTTCAAAATTCTGAACTTATGAGTAGGTAAGACGGCGGTGCGTGCGGGGGAGGCACTCATCGGGCGCGTATTTTGGTAGCCAGGATATTTTGGCAGCCGTGGGTATTTCAAGAGCCAGAGTGCCCCTTAATAGTGTACTTAACGGGCTCAGGAAAACCTTGCAGTGCACAATTCTCTCCCCCAGCTCTGCTCTGGCTGTTTCTACTATCTCGTTCCCCTACAATATATACATTTCTGGAGCCATTTTGTATAAATGCCCAAAATTAGATAAACGTATACATCAGGGTAGTCCAGACCACCCGTTTTTATAACTCAGAGATCTTGCTAATATTGTTGTTCTCTATCAAATAACTCAAAAATTGATTTCCCTACGTCTGGAGGGGGGGGGGCAACATTGTAACTTTAAATGGGAACCCACATTTTTTATTCCATATCTCGATTCTACTCAAAAAAGTATAAAGAATTTATTCGAAACATTTTATGTTGTGGTAACAGATGGCGCTGTAATCGCAGAAACTAATTTAAATTTTGCAAATGTTAATGTTTATAAAAAGAAACATTTAGATTGCCATTTTAATATACAAATTTACTGCAATTAGTTTCTTACCATCACAAAAAACGTTTCGAATAAACTACTTAGAACAGTAGAATCAAGATATGGAATAAAAAATGTGGGTACCCATTTGAAACAACAAAGTTGCTCCCCCACCCCTCCCAAAAGTGGTGATTGGAGGATTCGATAGAGAACATGGGTAGACGCGCGGTCCAAACCATCCTGTATACTTTAACATATATCTATAAACATGACCACAATTGGGTACCTACATGCTTTTTTAGCGCATTTTCCAACTCATGTTGGAAGGTGCTATTATGGCCACTTTCTCCGTCCGTCCGTCAGAGGCCTTAACTACTCAAGATATTTAAAAGATTATTCTAGTAAAGACAAGCATATAAAAAGATAGGAGCGACATTCAATCCATAAGCACTCGTAGTGCATCTGGAGACTTGAACAGCCTATAGTTCAATTTAATCATTATGTTATAGATTTCTATTGAGCACTAACCAGCATGAAGTACCTAAAGAGAGGAACTACATTTTTAACAACAATCTTTAAACAATAGTAAGACTGAAAAGTATACATCTTAAATACGTTGTTCCCCAAAAGTGTATGGACATCATCTCACTATTCTATTTTTTATAATGCATATGTTACTATTAATGTAATACAATTACCATTTTTCGTTAATGCTTCTTTTTTTAAAGGTAAGCCCTCGGTGGGATCACTAAGACCTGCTGGCCAGAATGGAACATTAGAAATGCCACCCCATAGCGCCTCAGATGGCGGGGCCGGCTGACGAGTTAACAAAGTTGAGTTTCTTGATGTGCTGCCCACATTTTGAATTGGAACTTCACGAAATTCAATGATTTCACCTGTGTTCATATCACGTTGAACCTATGTTATAGTACATAAGCACTTTTTTAGAAGAAATCTGATAATTACCTTTAAGGTGGTTGACAAAGGTGAGAAATCATAGTGAAATAATTTCGTTGGGTCTGGTTTTCGGGGCCAAAATTCTTGATTTCTTTCATAATCGTGAATCGGAAGCCTTTCTGGTTTTGTTAGGTATTCCAATAACTCCTCATCAATTTCCGGTAAAATGGGTGGAGGCTCTATTACGGGCGGAGGCTGAAATAATAGTTTACATTAACTTAAATAAAGAAGCCAGTTATAAATTTAATAACCATAATATAAACAAACAAAATTGATTGTATAATTAAAATAATTGTAAGGTTAAAGGTTATGTTACTTTGCTTGGTAGGCACATTGAACCAAAAAAAGTTCAAATGTCCTATGTTAACAAATGAGGATGTGGCTGCTTTAGCGACATTTACAACAAGGAAGAGATATGAAGATATACAGGGTGTTCCTAAATATGATGTAAATATGGAAGGGGCTAATTCTTTGGCTTATTTTATGACCCAATGGTTCATATAAACATAACCGCTCAAAGATCATTTGCATTTATGATATCTCTTGTGTCATACGGCTGGACGTCGCAACCAAATTCCACCTTTAGGATGACTCTGCTTATATTATTTTTCCCGAGAATTACCAATTGTAAATATAGGGTAAGTCAACATTGCATTGTCGAATGCGTGATCTCCAAGATCGCCACAAACTTCAATTGGATTAATATATAACGTCTTTTAAACCTATGGTTATTACTACAAAATTGATTGTAACACACTATACCGTATTATTGCCTTCAGTCAAGGGTTGGAACCGGTACCCAAAAGAACCAGTACCAGAACCGATTGCCTTTATAAGCTCTTCACTTGGAACCGGAACCGTTATCTAAGAAGTTATGATAACCGGAACCGATACCGGTACCGTTATTATTAGTTTCAAAGAACCGGTATTTTTCGGTTCTCTCTCTTTTGTATGTAGAGTAGACACGTGGCGCTTTGCGAGAGGAAAATACGTTTTATATTGTTGCTCTTAGAATTTGCTTCTAAAGCGTTGGAGTTAAGAACTTAGATTTACCATTATTCAATTTGTTAATATAGGTAGCAAACGAAAAGCATCTAGAGAATTCTAGAGTCAGCATATCATACGGAATATCCGCTGTCATTCCGTATCGCCAGTAACTGATCCTTTATCAACTTGATGGCCAAGAATAAAATCTTGTCTCCTAAATTACATTCAAAGTGGTTTTGCTACTTGCAAGGAATTTCAAAACCAAAAACCCAAATTTTAACTTAGAGCTGCCCACTAATTTCTATCAACTTAACCATAATACTAAACAAATATAAAATATTTTAGAATGACCGAAAATAAATCAAAAACTGTAAGATGGTTGAAGAGTGTATGAGGAAACCAATATAGAAACTATTGCTGAAGAAAAGGAAAGTAAACAAATACAGCCAGTTGACAGAGATGAAACGAACGCGTAAGCTAAAATACGTTCAATTAAACCTAATAAATATAAGTTCATGTGGATAATGCGCGTTTTGAATTTGTAGAAGAGAGGGGAGGGGGGGACTTAAACCTCTATATTGATGTGCACTGGGCCGCGGAAAGTAATTATGGTATAACATTAAAAGTCATTTATAAGTCTAAGTCACATGCGCTGTGACAAAATCAACCCAAAATTGTCATTTGGGTTGGAAAAGCTTTCTTGCCGAATGAGTACCTACATCTATGCATATTTAAGTGCAATGTGTATTTTGAAGTTAAATGGCTTTTCCCGTTATGATCAAGATATACCTAAATCATTATTTATGCACTTTTATTACGTTAGGAAGAAGACCAGTAGCGTTATCTTGATGGCCAAAACACGAATTTCACGAATATTTTACCCTGAAAATTGCAATAGAATGTACCGCAAAAAAGGAAAAAAATGAGCCGGATTAAAAGTCTGGTTCCGAATGGCAAAAAATTCCCCAACTGAAAATCGTATGCGATTTTTCGCATCTTGTTTGCAATGTAACACACTTCCGCTGAAAATAACCCATCTTCTGTATCATCGTTACCAAACAATTATAACACTTTTTCGATCAGTTTCCGAACCATTTAGGTGCAAGATGTACGATATATGACAAAAAATAGAAGTCTGAAATATCTGAGGAATTTCAATAAATTATTCCCAATCTCAGACCATTCACCTGAACGAGATCGAGAACTTGAACTATAAAATTGTTATCTTTTTTATCCCAGTTCAAAACACGTTTGCTTTGCAAGACTTGTTTAGTAGGAACACCCGCCGTTTGGAAGAAGCTATAAATGTTGATGTTCTTCAGATAAAAAATTAGTTTCTGTTTTCGCGGTGAAAATGTTTCGCTATGCTTGGGTAAGTATTTAGAAGTACTTACAGGACCGAAACAACTTTTTCAATTTTCAGATAGTCATCATTTTAATCGTGCTACCCAATTTAAATTACGCCGAAGTCGGTAAAGATAAAGAGAAGGAGGAGTACGCCGAGTCTGATAAGGTAAACCATGAGGTAGATCTTTTCAACCGCCCCGGCCAGTATCCCGGAGGTGGTAATTATCCACCGGGCGGGGGCGGTCCTGCACAATTTCCTGGTGGCGGGAGTGCTGGATATTATCCTGGAGGAGGTGGCGGCGGAGGGGGATTTTATCCCGGCCCAGGAGGGGGTGGAAACTATCCGGGAGGTGGTCCTCCAGGTGGGGGATTTTTCCCAGGTGGCGGTGGACATCCTGGTGGAGCTCCTTATCCGGGCGGCGGTCCCTATCCTGGCGGTCCTTATCCTGGAGGTGGTGAATACGGTTGTTATTGCCCGTGTGCTGATGGTCACTACCCCGGCGCGGGGCAGAAGCCACCCGGAGGTAACAGACCAGGTGGAAATCGACCGGGCATACAAGGGCGTTAAATCATGCTAAAGCGAATTTTATTGTGCTAAATTGTAAACATTGTGATTCAATTTGGTATATGTAGTGTAGGTATAATAAAAAGTTACTATCCCGAATTGTTATTCTGCTTCTGACCGTTTCCATTGGCATTGCTATTTCCGTGAGAATTTCCAGCGTGTTCTTCTGAGGAATCGGTGGAATCGGAATCCTCTCCAGAGTGATTCTTAGGCTTTGATTCAGCGGGAAGAGTGAAGGCAACGTTGATGACCATCATCATAAGTAACGCAACCTAATAGCACCAGATATTGAGACACTTTCCAGCGAGAACATGTAATAAGTAAAAATCTTGCACCAAAACTTACCATATATGGAGACATTATAACTGGTTATTTGTTGTAGGTATGCAATGGGATTAACTGACCACATTCTCAAAAAATGATCCTTTTATACCTACGCCTGTAATTACCTGTCATGTTTACAACAAATTACGTTTTGTTAATTTGTTCCAGTGATTAATCGATATAAGCACGTCCTTAATTTTGGTGACAATTTATTATGCTGTTTTGGCAGTGTCATTCTTTGTACGGAAATGTTTAAGCTAATTAATTCAGCGCGACCGTTTTGTCGTTTCTTAAAAATTTAACGTGGAAAAATGCGTATGTTGTAAAATAATAGAATATGTACCTACTTTATTTGCAATAGGGATATACCATATACATTTCTGTTTTTTCAGAATAGGTACTTGTTCTCAGTATTCACGGGAAGGGATCGAGTCTATAGTTAAATGTTTAATTATTTTCTGCTCTCAAAATTTGATTCTTCTTACTATGTTGTTTGGATATATTAAGCCAACATTATACCTACTATTCTTGTGTTTGATTTCGAAATGTGGTTGGTATACCTTAGCAAGCAAAAATTAATCTTTAATAGCGTGCACAGCGTAATGAATTGCCGTTGTTTTGATCCAATACCAATCATTATTCAGATAGTTGTACACCATTCCTCGAACAGTACCAATTCTGCATTTATCTAAGGAAATATCAAATTTTTGCTAGAACTCAACTCCTAATTGCTTACTATTTTCGAGAATCGTTCGTAGTCGCTGGTATGGTACAAGGTTGCGGTACTGATGGGTTCCTAATGGTATTTGTCTAAACACTCTTTCTGCAAGCACGATATTATGCAACCAAGCAAGTAGTGTCTGGTTGATAGTAGTTACAAAAAGGGAACCTCCAGGTTTTAAACAACGGATACAGCTCTCCAAGAAAACTTCCAATTCACAAATATGTTCCACTACTTGTGACGTAATTACCGCATCAAATTTGTTTTTGTTTTCTTTCGAAAATTCCTCAATCGTAACTGGCCAATAGTTTATATTGCGGGGTACATTATGAGTTTTGGCAATTTCTATTAAATCCTTCGCCGGATCAATACCGGTTACCGAAGCGCCTGATTTCATTAATGCCTCCGCTAGAATCCCACCTAAAATACAATGAAGGAAATTCCGCGGTTAATTAACATTACGAAAAAAACATACCTCCACATCCTGCATCTAATATTTTTATGTTAGCGAAAGGTTTTGGCGTTTGTTTAAGAATCACGTCCCTATGAACAAGTCCTGAGTTAACCAAGCCATCTTGAACAAAAGGAACTCTTAGTTTGTTCATCGAGTGAAGAGGCTTCATCGCGCCAGCCTCATCCCACCATTGTTCTTGCAAGCGACTAAAGTGATTTACTTGGCTTTCAATAATTGTTGATTTGTTACTGTACGCTTTGGATATTGTTCTCATAAATGAAATACCACTAAAATTGATATTAAGACAGCAGTAGTGTAAAATATGCAGTCCGGTTACCCTGTCCCAGAGTATTTCTGCATGACATTGATGAATAACATACCAACAGATATTTGTTATTGGATGTGTACTAATTTTTAATAATATCTAACCTGTAACAGTAGACTGCTTCTCAATTTCTGCCAAACGGACTTTATTTACCCAGATAAGTACACTATAATAAAAACATATCTGAGTTTAATCATATTATGTACTCGTACTTTGAGTAACTTGGTACGTTAATTCAGAAACAAACACAGAAAAGGTCAAATAATGATATATTTCAAAATGATAACAAAACATCTAATTAATTAATTAACCGTTAAGTTAACCCAAGTGATAAGTTTGAAATATCGATTGCACAAGAAATGTCTCCATTTTCAAATACTCTCAATAATAGCAGTAGTTTCTTTTTCTATTGCAGAGCACTTCTTCTCACTTTCACTCGTGTTTGATCGAAGCTTCATTTACTGTTTCACTTTTGTTATTGTGATGTCTTGCATATATTTGGAAAAATAGCTTTCTCTCTAATATTTATCCTTTTATCCTTCACACGTGGGCATCGCCATCTTCATAATACACGAGGGTTGCCTGTTATGATGTGAGATTTAATTATACTAAAAACTTTAGCAAACGACGATATAGATATTGCTATTGTTTTTCGAAGTATTCACCATAACTTCTGCATTCTTTCGAACCAACCTGTGCAAAACAGTAATTCCAGTCTGAAGTTGGAGAACTAAAACTTTGTAAGCTTGTTCTGGTGACTGGAAACGTTTTCCACGCAACTGTTTCTTGATTCTTGGAGAAGTAAGAAAGTCATTAGGTCTCAGATCGCGAGAATATGGTGGATGATCACGATTTTTTTACAATTATCCGAGACGTCAAATTCTTCAGTTTCAATTCTGTGCATTGAGCGAAGTGATTATTCCGATTTCGACGGTGACTATATGTGAGTATGTACCACGAAGGTAAGTCCTCGTAGCGGATCAGGATGAAGAAGACATATGGGAAGATACAACGCCTATTCTCGAAGAGAATACCTTGAAAAGGTCTGCTAGGACAACGAAAGGACAACTGATGCCTGCTCGATAAGCTTGTGCAGCAGAAACTGGAGTTCAGGAGGAGCCATGGACGTTGAAGGAGGCACTGTCTGGACCCAACTGCGACAAGTGAATGAAGGTCATGCTAGACTCTACCCGTAGTTGCGACCCATGGGAGTGCCCCGCCACGAAAACGTGCTTTTTGGTGTGTAAGTAGATTTTTAAACTCAAGCGAAACACGGGTCATGAGGTAATACGGTTCAAGGCGCGACTAGTAGCTCCAAAATAATTGCCGATAGTTTAAATTTGGCGCTTAAAGATTTTAGTGATTTTTACTTATGGCAGTGGCAAACATGTTTAGAAGGTGATTTATTTATGCAGTAATCACCAAACTTTGTGGCGTTTTTTATGTGAATTTTTATTTTCTTATCTTCGTACAGTGATCCATGCGTTTCAAAGTTCAAGTTATAATTACAAACTTATCGCACAATACGTCGCACAAAATTTTGCACGAAGAAACCGGAATGTTTACATACAGTTTCGATGCCGTTCATTTATGGGAATAGGTTGAACCTTAGAGAAGGAAAGAACCTTAGAGAAGGTCTTTCATAGTCTAAGGGTTGAACTATCGCACCAGGACCGGATTTAGCATTGGGCCATGTGGGCCCGGGCCCATAGCAGCACATTTGTAGGGGCGGTAAAAAAACAAATTTGGGCAATAATTCTACAGCACTATAGTAGAAAAATAACATAACCTCTTAAGTAATTGAAGTTGGAATGTTACGCACACTCTTACCAACTTAAAGGTAATTATGAAATACGGAGAAACATAATCTCACATTTCGACGAAATTATGTGAACTTTGTATTAAGATTGTGGAAAATTTAGGGCTTCTTCCGCAATTTTTTGTTGAAAACGCTTAATTAAGGTGTCCTCTAGCCATATTTATCAGTTTCTCGATCGTACCTGGGGTGACTTGATAACGTTACGTAACCGTTAGATTCTCTGAATGCTCTGAAACACTATTCAGTGGTTACATTTACATGTTTATATATTGGATTACAGTGTTTAAACTGTAAAATAAACTTGAAATAGGTACGTTAGGTATTTGAAATTGGTGTCTTTTATTTGTTTTATTATTATTATTATCCCTCTTTTGTTTTGGGCCCTCAACAGGCATGCGCCCAATTACAGAGTGACCCGCATAATGCTATTTTATTGTATACTACCATTGAATAAATGGTTTTTATTCAATGATACTATCTAAGCAAATTATGAGAAAGAAAAACCTTTTTCTGTAAAGAGTAAACAATAACTTTGGTTGGGGTATAAAATGCTTATAATTGGAAGGGGAGGGGGGCGATTTCTAGGGGCCCATAGGTACAAAATATGTAAATCCGGCCCTGCATGTGGCAACTGAAAAGAACTCTATGGTGATCGCTTAATTAGCCTAACTATCCCTCGGACAATATTGCAATAAATATTTGAATACATGAAGGGATATAGGATATAGGGATATCTATATAGTTACCTACTTAATAAAAAATTCATAGGTATGGATACACAATCGATAAATGTAATTATGTAACCCTTCTGATGAAAATAGTTCTATAAAATTTGGTGGAAAGATATTCGAAAATGGATTTTCTGTTACTATATGAAAATTGCACGTGTTGCGTTGCGCGATATGTGGTACGTGTATGGTTTTCAATATTTCTTTGTAGATAACAATTAATTTTTAATAGCGTGCACAGCGTAATGGGTTGCCGTTGTTTTGATCCAATACCAATCATTATTCAAAAAGTTGTACACCATTCCTCTACCTGTACCAATTCTGCATTTATCTAAGGAAAATATCAAATATTAGCTAGTAACCAACTGCTAGTTGCTTACTATTTTCCAGAATCGTTAGTAGTCGCTGGTATGGAACAATGTTGCGGTACTGATGAGTTCCTAATGGTATTTGTCTAAACAGAATTTCTGAAAGCACTATAACATGAAACCACGCAAGTAATGTCTGATTGATAGTGGTAATAAAAAGGGAACCTCCAGGTTTTAAACAACTTATACAACTCTCCAAGAAAACTTCCAATTCACAAACATGTTCTATCACTTCCGAAGTGATAACTGCATCAAACTTGCCTTTGTTTTCTATTGAGAATTCTTCAATCGTAACTGAGTAATAGTTTATATTACGAGATACATTATGATTCTTGGCTATTTCTATTAATTCCTTTGATGGATCAATGCCAGTTACCGTACCACCTGACCTCATTAACGCCTCCGCTAGAATCCCACCTAAAACGGAATGAAACGAATTCCTACCATAGAAAAACACGTACCTCCGCATCCTGCATCTAATATTTCAATGTTAGCGAGCAGGTCTGGGTTTTGTTTAAGAAGCAAGTTTTTGTGAACAACTCCTGAGTTAACCAAGCCATCCCAAACAAATGGAACTCTTAGTTTGTTCAGAGAGTGAAGTGGTTTCGCGGCGCCGTTCTTATTCCACCATTGTTCTTGTAACTGATTAAAGTGATTTACTTGGCTTTCAATAATTGTCGACTTTTTACTGTACATTACTCTTATAAATGATGCAACACTAAAGCGATCTAATCATAATTGCTTCTCAATTTTCAATCTGCTTACCCTTTTTTGTAACATTTCTGAATCACCCTTCTGGTATTGACGAACATACCTATTTTACAGTTTTAACAGTTATTATTATATTATAGGTAGACAATTCTTTAATGATAATACATTAATAAATATATATCTTATCAATTCCCATAATTTTATCATTGGTCGATCCACTCAATAATCTCCTTTATCCTTTCCTAATCAAACAACCAAATGTCAAAGGTGAAGCTGGTGGATGTGGATATCAACTGGCCAGAGTCATTAATATCCAATTGTTTTAAATAAGGAACCTGTGTCAATTAGATGTAGTAGGGGATGCCTAATAGATTTCTGACGCACTCGAATAAATCCTGTTTTCAACCCTTACGTACAGTCTTCCCCAACATGCAAACCGGCAGATTAACAACATACACTATCAATATCTGACGCGCTTGAGTATTTTTTTCTACATTATTAAAATAGTGTAGCCGCGCCCCCCTCCGGTGGAGGGATGTACCTAATATAACTTTTTGTCATTCTACAATCTAATCTACAAAGTTCAATAAATCCCTACGACGCTGGAGTAAATCCCAATTTAGCGTCGTGGGCTCCGCTATTAACTAACTAGCTAAATCACCTATTAATTTACAGTCCATTTGAACTTTTCCTGACACCCATATTAATTGTCAATGATCGGTTTTGGAATATTCACCCGTATTATATAGTACGTGGGACCTTCTATTAAGTAACCAACCACGTTATTAGTATCGTTAATTGCCACGGCTTCGTCAGAATAGGGATGGAGGGAACGGAGTGGTCCAAAAATAAACATTACATTACTTAGCACCAAACTATCTACATAGGTACAAATGAAATGACCATGAATCACTGAATTACCTATATAAAACAAAAGTAGGAAACCAGTAGTACCTGCAGTAAATATAACGTAACGGGATACCAAAATTTTAAATATAAATGCAAATATTTAACATCGTAAAATTGAATTAAAAAATAGAATATTTAATTTGTAATTCTTCTACGAAATTTGGCGGAAGGATATGCGAAAATTAATTCTTATTATACAGGGTGGTGACTTGCGTAACGCATCATAGGGATTTCAATGTAAAATTCATAACATGCGATTATTGGCCCCCCAAATTATTTTTTAGGTAACAATTAATTTTTAATAGCGTGCACAGCGTAATTAATTGCCGTTGTTTTGGTCCAATACCAATCATTATTCAGATAGTTGTACACCATTCCTCGAACTGTACCAATTCTGCAGTTATCTAAGAAAAATATCAAATATTTGCTATATAAACTGCTAGTGGCTTACTATTTTCCAGAATCGTTAGTAGTCGCTGGAGTGGAACAAGGTTGCGGTACTGATGGGTTCCTAATGGTATCTGTCTAAACAATATTTCTGCAAGCACGATAATATGCAACCAAGCAAGTAGTGTCTGGTTGATAGTAGTTACAAAAAGGGAACCTCCAGGCTTTAAACAACGGATACAGTTCTCCAAGAAAACTTCCACTTCACAAACATGTTCTATCACTTCTGAAGTAATCACTGCATCCAATTTGTTTTCGTTCTCTTTTGAGAATTCTTCAATTGTAACTGAGTAATAGTTTATGTTTCGTGATATATTATGTTGCTTGGCTATTTCTAGTAATTCCTTTGCGGGATCAATTCCAGTTACCGTACCACCTGATCTCATTAACGCCTCCGCTAGAATCCCACCTAAAACGTAATAACACGAATTGCGCAGGTACCATTAGAAAAAAACCGTACCTCCACACCCTGCATCCAATATTTCTAAGTTAGCGAGAGGTTGTGGGTTTTCGTTAAGAAGCAAGTCCTTGTGAACCACTCCTGTGTTAACCAAGCCGTCCCAAACGAAAGGAACTCTTAGTTTATTTAAAGAGTGAAGAGGCTTTATGGGGCCGTTCTCATCCCACCATTGTTCTTGTAACTGTTTAAAATGGTTTACTTGGCTTTCAATAATTGTCGACTTTTTACTATACATTGCTCTCGTAAATGATGATGCAACACTAAAATGGTATAATCATGATGTACTGTTCGATTCTCAATTTGCAATCCTCTTACCTAGTTTTGGCGCATTTCTGGATCACCCTTCTGGTATTGACGAACATACTTATTTCACAATTTTACCGCAGTTGTTATTATATTGTAAGTAGGCAGACAAGTTTGTAATGATAGTACATTAATAAGGTTCTTATCAATTCCCATGCTTTTATCATTATCCGTTGCACTTAAAAATCTCCTTTACCTTTTCCTAATCAAACAACCACAATTAATAATAATAAACGTGTAAACAAATATAGAAAACGAGCTCCTGGGTACCTATGGCTATAGTATGTGCAAAACCAAATTTTGAACCTATTTTGCTTTTATTTAAAGTGTATAATATGTATAAAATTTCTGAACATTATCCATCGTTCCTCTAAATCTGGTTGAGTGATATCAAAGATTAAGAAAATCGGATCTCAAAGCCTTCCCCATAAATTTATTGTTGTACTATTACAACACGACTATAGTTTCGGCGATAATCGCCATCATCAGGTGAAATTAATTATTATTGAAGGAAGGTGTTGTTGTAAAGGTTAAACATTGAAGACGGATTGAAAATGAAAAGAATAGATGGTCCTGAAGTTACCTACATTTTTTTGTCGGCAGACCCGAATATTGAAACGCCAAAATTAAGGGCTCTTAAACCGGAGAGGTTGGCCTCATTAAAGACGACCATCCGGACAATTATTGACTAATTAAAGAAGGCACTTTTGAAATTTTTTGACACATTGAAGATGGAATGTGTTGAAACTTAAATTTTACGACACAGACAAATATTTAAATGCACCATTTAAGGACTCTAAAACCGAAGATTCACCGTCCGATTGGTTGTCTTTAATTAGGCCACACTGAAGACTGTTTTTCTTTGTTACCTATACCGTAAAAGTAGTCAATCCGTTTCACGTTCTCTCACAACAGAGGGACGACAGAATCCTGCGAAAGTTTTCTTATTTGATCAGTTATCACGGGCGTTATACTTTTTTAAAGTGCTCATTCAATGGTATAGCTAAGACCATCTAAAGTCTTTTAATTTTTAAACTTCTTTAAAAGTTAGTTTTATGGAGTTTTCTTGAGTTTTTAAGGGTTCCGAAAAGATTTATTGGGCTTTAAGAATATTCAAGCCGTCACAAAATCTTTCGCTCTAAATGATTTCCATAGCTCTTTAATACCTTTAGAGTCTCTAACAAGCTTGCCTTCGATAGTCCTTAAAAGTATATATGTTTTCTAATTTTATAATTTATTTTTATTTATTATATAATTTTTTGAAATTAACATGGTTTAATGTCAATGCTGCGTGACGTGTGTAAAAAAATACCGTTACATTTTATTGTTTTCATTTTTGGAGTAAATGTTTGCTCTATTTATGTTTATGTTTTGATTATATGGTCTTGTGCCGAAGTTAAATTTATATATTTGGTCATTTATTTAAATATGTGGAAATTATTGAATTCTTTGATATTTGTATGGTCGTTGTTTGTAACTAGTCTTGTCACAGGAATGGGAAATACTGTAACCAAATTATTTACTACATCTATCTTAGGCGTTTCATCACGTGCTACATTTTGATTTCAAATTTAAGCGGGACCTGGTTAGCTTTTGGCAAAGAGGGTACTCTTTGCTTTTGGAGAGAATGGCCAATCCGGTGGCCATTTTTTTAAACGTTACCGTATTGATTGTATTTCCCTGTGGCTGTAGTGTGAAGTTAGCGTAGAATCTGGGGGTTAAGTACACTATAACCCCAACCAAAAAAGGAAGTAAAAAGATTACTCCTTCAAGGCTTCAAACGATACGTTTTCTCCTCCTGTCAGACGTATTTATTAGGTATCCCTCTCTTGTTCTGGGCCCTCAACACTCAACAGGCTTTCGCCCAATTACAGAGTGACCCGCATAATGCTTGAGTTGTTGAACGATGTCAATACGAACCTGCACCTTAAAAAAGTTCATTTGGACTTAGATGCCCTAGGCGAGAATAGAGAAGGAAAGGTAGAATTTGAAATAAGAAACACAAACACTTCAGAGTAAATCATTATATGGTTTGATAATCGATACTCTTCAGTCTTCTACAGTAGATCAAAAGATGGGTCTCAGAGGTCAGGGCGCTGGAGGGGTTAAATCCGCCTCTGTGGAAAAGCCTTGTCTTGATCTTGTATACTGCACAAACTACACAAAACTCGGCAAAATGCGAAACAAGAGTGAAACACTTCGTACTACTAAGCATCAGTTGGTAACCCATGATAACGATTATCTTAAATTGGCACTTAACGTTTAACGATACATGTTCACTTTACGTTAATTCATCTGATTTAACAGGGTTGGTAGATCTAGATATTGATACAATTACATTTGTTTCTATGGTAATTTCAACCAAGCCTGTTACACTATCGTCAATCTCCTATAATTCTCACGTTAGGTACATAGATAAATCAATAACGTTTCGGCAATCTTCCTCCCTTCCATTAACCCCATTGTAGTTTACAAATTTCGCGATGAAATACTTTTGAGCCAGTCTGTCTCCATGCTGTATCATAAACTCCAGTGACCACTTAACACATTACTTATCTAATCATTGTGCTGTGTTCTTTATAAAAGCCAATTTAAAAGGCAATCAATTTATTTCGAGTGCCAATAGGCTCTTCGCAAAATGAAATTTGCAATCATTCTTGCTTTTCTTCACTTTTGCGGTAAGTATATGTACGTTATGTATTTGAAGTAAACTTTGATACACTTGGTAATTTTGCAATTAGGGTTTAACAAGGTCATTTATGATTAATAGCAAATTTTTCATGTTTAAGAAAAGAGTAGCTATGTGAGCACTTCGTTCATGGACTCTGCCTGCTCCCAATTTACTGCTATACTGTTCTCCAGTGCCGCAAGCAAAAATGCTAGTCATGGGTGGGGTGGGGGTGGGGACTGGGTTATATGGACAACGGGTCAAATATCAATTTGCATTGGTCTGGGCGCTGAAAGCAATACATATACTACGATTTGATAGACAAACTGGAGCTGGGCTGCAGCCCCCCCTCCCCCCCCCCCCCCGACCCCCATTTTCTAAACAGTTAAATTAAGCTTCAACGACAAAATATATTTGGAAGACCAATCAAAAATGTTTAAGGTTAGTTTAATTATTTGTTTCTAGATGTATTGGCCAATCAATGCGCTCCGCGTAGTTACGGTTATAGCAGCGTAGTATGTGTATGCAACGCATCTTATTGCGACAACTTTCCTCCAAATACAAAACCACAGGACAGTAGCTATTTTGTGTACACTACCACAGAAGGTGGTCTCAGATTGCTAAGACAAAGCTACCATTTTCATGCATACGAAAGAAATAGTACAGATACAATCATCACCATTGATTCTTCAAAACGACATCAAACGATAATCGGCTGGGGTGGCGCATTCACTGATTCAACAGGAATTAACATCAACTCCCTAAGTGAACCGGCGGCAGCAACACTTCTTAGGTTAATTAAATTAATTAAAATTAGCATCTCATTCGTAAACGTTACAGGGCGTACTATTCTGACAATGGTCTTCAATATAACATGGGCCGTGTTCCGATTGGAGGTACCGACTTCTCGACACACGGCTACTCTTATAACGATGGCGAGGAAGATCCCAAACTGCTGCGTTTCAATCTAACGGCCGAAGACTTTAGCTACAAAGTATATGCACAATTCCTACGTACAGTTTTTGAACGTTGCTTTCAGATACCTCTAATTAAACAAGCCCAGGCGCTTGTTAAAGGCGAATTAAAGTTGCTAGCCTCGGCGTGGACTGCTCCAAAGTGGATGAAGCGCAATGGAATGTATACAGGGCCTGATTTCTTAAAAGACGAAATGTACCAAGCGTGGGCGAACTACTTTGTCAAGTTTTTGCGTGCCTACGCCACGGAAAAGATTAACTTTTGGGGCTTGACAACAGGAAACGAACCGTCAACTGGGCTTATTCCATCTAAGATTAACTCAGTAGGCTGGCTTCCTGGGTCAATGGTAGGTGCGGTAAATAATTCATTAATTAACGCGCATTTAAGGGCACCTTTATTGCGGAAAATCTTGGTCCCACTATTCGCAAGTCGGAATTCGCATCCATCAAATTGTTAACAATTGATGATCAATTATTTATGTTCCCCAAGATGATTGAGATGGTAAGTTTGCTTTTCAATTGATGGGCTTTAATAATAGAGCTTGCAGATATTTAAAAATGAAAAGGCTAAAGACTATATAGATGGTTTTGGGCTGCACTATTATTGGAACTGGTTGCCCAGAACCTGGCTAAAGGAAACTCACGATCAATATCCAGAAAAATTCATTTTGGCGACAGAATCTTGTGAAGGTGTCGGAATTGATCAACCGCACGTTAAATTAGGCGATTGGAAGCGAGCCGAAAACTACGCGTCTGACATTATTAAGGTAACTAGGGTGCATTCGTTTGTCACCTCCACTATCACTAAACTTTAGGATCTGAACAACTGGGTAACTGGATGGATAGATTGGAACATGGCACTTGATTTAACTGGTGGGCCAACTTATATTGACAACAATGTGGACGCGCCTATCATAGTTAACTCTACAGCCGGAGAATTTTACAAACAGCCCATGTATTACGCTCTGGCACACTTCAGCAAATTTCTACCCGAGGGTTCCCAAAGAATCTCATTCACTCAAACTACAAATGATATACTTGTTACTAGTTTTATTAGACCGGATGGCGCAGTTGTTGTCACTATTCTAAACCCGTAAGTGGAACATTACCTAATACCAAAACGTACAAAAAAAATGTCTCAATACATTACAGAAATCTACATGATGCGCCTATCAGAATTCGGCCAGTTGACAACAAACATGCAGAAGTTCGAGCAAATATACCGACTAAATCAATTGTCACTATAGTATACTAAGAGGATGATACTGTTGAACTCTCAAGAAAAATAACTAAAGTTCACAAACCTTCTCATTGTTGACAATGGTTTTGTTGGATAAGACAATCACACATTTTTAATTTAATTTACATGAATGTAGAGTGTGTACGGTACTACTTTTATGAAGAGTGTTCTAATTTTGAAATATAAAGTTCGTTATCCATTTTCGTGAATAATTACTCAATAGGTTTACCATACCTCTTCCGGACCTTTCCGCAATATTTGGATCTACTCTACACTCCAATTGTCCGCGTATGAAATTAAATAAGTTTTTTCCAACAGCAACTTGAGACTTTACTCATTACTTACTTACACACCGATGGAATGTCGTTTATTTCATTTCATTTAAACTCTTGCACCTAACCCTGAGGAGCTCGTCTGAAAACCCTGTCGGCTTATATGAATTGACATGATAACGATAACGATAGGAAGAATAAAAATTAGTTATGAAGAAAAAGATTTAAAGAAAATTTTAAGAAGAAACAAATGTTTTAAGATAAGCAAGTGGCATAGACAAGATGGAATCTTATGAATTGGAAGAAAAAAGAAGAAAATATAATATTGTGAAAGAGGTTGAAGTGAAGTGTATACCTACTATAGTTTATTTTGTATAGTGAAGTTTATTACAGATGAACGAAGTCAGGAAGTGCAGTTACATTGATTTTTTAAGGTTTTAGAATTTTTTGAATATAGTTATAGGTAGATTTTTGTCTTTGTCCTTTATGGGCAGGAGGTTTTTTTAAAACTAGGTTTAGGTGTTTTTGATTAGGGTTTTTGATTTGGGGTTAGGAGTGAAAGAGTTGTGACATTTTTTATGGAAAGCTCCCATGTCTTTTATTATTGTTTTTCAACTCTCATCAGGCTTTCTGCGTTTTGAAAAATAGAAGGGGGTACTGTAACGGGCGCATTAAGTTGAACTTTTTCGAATTTTCCGCAGAAATGAGTAAAGTAGAATTTGTAGCAACAATATATAATAACACATAACAAACACCAAGGTTCTGAAATGTCTTCCCACACAAATTTTAGTCATGACGATGTAAAGAATTTATTTGGGCGATTGGTGTTATGCGCTAGTAACAAACGATCAAGTGGACTGTATGGAAATGAAATTTTTCTCGCGCTTTTCTAGAAATTGAAGAGAAATGTACGCCAACAAAATTATTTATTAATTAAACAAAATGGCAAAGCTAATTATATGAGCACTTGGTGGACCGGTAAGAGCGGCTCACTGTATAAAATTAAAGTTGACAGGACAAATTAATATATTACGAGAACACACTTGTTTAACGACCAATGCGATGCGACGCAATCAACCCTTCTCGATCCCCCTTTTTCTTCGCAGATGGTTGTTCGAAGCCTACTTTGGAAGGGAAAACGGACGTTAAAGAGATCAAGTGGTCCATACGAGAAACGAAATGTTAAAAAGGAAAATTTATATTACATCGGGACGCAACGATTGGAGTCAACGAAATATTTACGCAGAGGTTTTCAATGAGCTTTTTGTTCTTTAATTGGTTTTTGCGTCTAGATAGCGGGCGTAGGGTTAGGATTACATCCGTTTTAAGAGGTGTGTAGTGTAGAACTGAGAGTTTCAACCCTTTTAAATAAAAAAAAAGCCTATTTAAAGCCTACACGCGAGGAGTGAGGCAGGTTCAAACAGGAATAACGAAGAGAGTTGAAAGAGATGAAAAAATATGATGTTTGATGACGGTTTGAAGGGATTGCGATACACATACAAAGAAGAGGCGGGAATGAGACAAAAGAAAAAGATGTAAAGGAAACGTAAAGCAGTCGGAGAAGGTGGAATGGAGGTTTGAAGCAACTGCGAAAGGGTGGAGAAGTTGCAAAGGAAGCGCGTGAAAGGCGCTAAAAGGTCGCGTAAAGGCGCTGCAAAAAAAACATGAAGGATACGCGCTATGTAAGTATAAAGCAAGGAAGGCTTGAAGGAGATGTTATAACGGTTGGCAGAGTTGGCGCTGTGTTTCCTCAAACCCGCCGCATAAACAGCTACAAACACAAAATAAGAGCTTGAGATCTTCCCAAGCGGAAGTTCGTTCTAGACATTTGATCTTCGTCCATCGTTGCACTTACCAATAATTTCAGTTGGTTGTCGACGCCAAGAAGTGAGCTCAGTTCCCGCATACAAAACTTGAAATCAATCAAAAGAAAACATCCGAAGCCACAGGGCTCGGTATATAATTAGTTGACTAATGCCTGAGGGGCTTCGCTCCACTCGTAATCTGCTTCTATACCAGGTACGGTACTGAATTGGACAGTCGCTTCATAAGGAAGTGGTGGTCTTCAACGATGTACTCGATCATAACTTAACCGGGATGGCAAAGATGCTGATTAGCAGCAGGTGGAAAGATAAGTCAAAGGTGTCGGCACTAGCAGGTATTGGTGAATTTAACCCAACTCGTACGTCGAACCAGTTTCATATGTAATGTAACGTATCCGGAATTTACACTGGAGATTAATAAATATGGATGATGGCAATTAAAATTCCATTCGTTCTAACCTATGCTTCAGTGGTTGTTTAAACGAAGTGTATCTCGATACGGTTTACGAAAGAAAGAAGGATAAGAATCGACACGTACTGCGCGGTAAAAATGAGTTGTCAAAATTCTAACAATAAAGAGAATCATATTTTCAAAAGTTATGAGGATCTTTCAACAATACAGATAGAATGTGTGAATGAAACCCGCAGAAGATACGCATAATAGAGATGCATGCAAACTTTAATTTATGAAATTTGTTAAATTGATGAATAACTTCGTTGCACATTGCCTCATCTTTAGAATTGCTAAAATTACTATTTGTGTGCATGTGCATATTTAACTACTAATTTTCACGTTGTGACCATTTCGAAACATAATCAGTCTTATTTACACTCGTTGCTCACCTTTAATTTTTCTTACGGCATTTCATTGAAATTGAAAAATATATTCCCGGTACCCGTACAGCGGGAAACTTTCAAATTCACCGACGTCTAACCAAAGTACTCTCTTTGGCCAACGATACTGGCTTCAAATAGTGACTTTCACTGAATAGTGAAGGGTTACTTTATTAGGTACTTACATTTTAAACTATACCTACAGTCCCAAACAGTTATTTGTACAAAAAGATTCACAGTTTTACTGCATGCATGGCATAATGCACTACAGTATTTGAAGTCCAAAACCAAGTATTTGTCAAAACGTTGTAAAAGAAACCATGTACTAGTCTGGTTCTGCAGTTATCTGAAAAATGTATGAATAATAAAGAAAATATAATACCATATACCTACTATGTTCAAGAAATTTTTGCGTGCGGTGTGGAGAGATGAACTTATCGTAATGGTGGGTACCCTTTGGCACTAGGCGCAGAATGCTTTCCGCCACTGGAACAACAAGAAACCACGACAATAAATTTTGATTAATCGTCGTAAGGAATATCGATCCTCCAGGTTTCAAGCATCGGACACATGCTTCCACAAATTGCTCTTGGTGATCGACGTGTTCCAAAACTTCAGACGCAACGACCGCGTCAAATTGTTCAACGTTAGTCTCGGCAAATTTCTCAATGGTGGTCAACTGGTAATTGATATTTTCCCGTGAAGGATGGCTGGCGCTATGCTCCTTTGCTATTTCGAGCAGTTCACCCGCCACATCAATGCCCGTTATACAACAGCCTAAGCGAGCCAACGCTTCCGTTAATATACCACCTAAAACGCTCGGGGTGTAACTCGGCAATTAAAAAAGATTAAGCAAACCTCCGCAACCCACTTCCAGTATTTTTAAATTTGTGAGAGGTTTGGGTGTGCTAATAAAGTTTTTTTGAATTAAACCCGTGTTGATTAAACCCTCTCGAATTAAGGGAACTCGTAGTTTGTTCATGGAGTGCAGAGGTTTTACAGCTCCCATTTCGTCCCACCATCCAGTCCTAATCTGATTGAAATGTTTTACTTCAGTCTTATCAGCGGTTGAATCATTTTGAAGTCCACAAGTTTGTAATTTCACAAGAGGTTTTATAATGCTAAAAAACAGAACTGTTCGAGAAGATTCTGGAGTACTAAGTATATAATTAAACGTCAAAGATGAACCATAAATTCAATAATACACAGCAATAAAAATAACTTTTACAGAATAAACTTACTTTTTGTAGTATGATGCCGAACATCTTCCTGTTCTTTGTAGCATCTTGCTTCTGTAACAAAATGATAAAAAAAATCAACGAGCCGCATTGGAGCTATCTATTGAATTTTCAGATGACGCATGCTCCAGACATCTATCTGCTCCAAACCGAAGTGTCTGTATTGTGTGAAATCCAGCCATACGTGGGATATTGAGTTATCACCTTAGCTTTCATTTAATTCGTAAGGCAGGAACGAAAGACGCGAATCAGTGATTAAAGATGGCGGTTTTCGTTCATAAGAAGCCATTTCCTAAGCGATAATTAGTTAAACAGAATTAGGTAGGGATCACTAGAGAGAGAGAGAGTTTTGAATTGATTCCGTTTTGGACTAACTGCGCGGCGCGATCACTCGTGAAGCTCAAATTAAAATTTTTTTTTCGAAATTCATTCGGGTTTAAACTACCGGCGCAATCAGTGTATGGTTCAAAAATAAATTCTATTTTGAATTAACAGCGCGATCGTCGTGCAGCTCAAAGTATAATTATTTTTTCGAGATTAATTCCGTCCGGCTTACCAGAACAATTGGTGTGTGCTCCGAAAGCAAATTTGTTCTCTCTTCATCTCTGTGGTTCGCAATAGAAAATGAAGTAAAAATAATTCCGTTGTGTATTACTCGCGCATCTTTTATGTGGTTTAGATTAATAGTTTTTGCATTACGGTTCGAGCAGCGAAAAACTCTCGTGCAGGCTTTCCCAGGATGAAAGTGAAAATTTTCATGAAGATAGCCATCTCTGGGCAAATTAAAGCCGTTTGTATTGCATGTATTTTACCATTTATAAACCCATTAGAATTGGATTTGATAGAAGAAATCAGTTTTTCAATTAACGTTGGTTACTTCAGGTTTCATGAGAGAAAACCGAGGGGTAAACCGCTGGAGGAAATAGTGTACAAGTTGGAGGGAATTAGGGTATTTCGAAAGTATTAAAAGGAATTAATAGGTATTTTGAGAATTACCAAGGAAATTAAAGGTATTATGAGTTATTAGTAGGGAATTAAAAGGAATTAAAAGGAAAAGGAGGAAATAAATAGGTTTGCGCCTACGCTAATATACATCAGAATTAAAATGACGCATCGTTTTACGTCAGCGACTCGTATAGTGCATACCTCGGTGCATACTAGCTGTAAACTGTGATATGCCGGTATAATATTTCCGAAAGATTTTATTGAAGATGCTTGTTTGTATTTAAATTTTTTTATTACTCTGCCTTGGATTAAGTATTTTTTGTTTGTTTTGGTAATAACATTATGTACTGAATAAATTAATATTTTTTTATGGAATTCATATTTTTTAAACTTCACCACTTGCTTCACTATGAACCAAAAATAAATTTATATTTTAAAACGTTTATGTTACTACGGAGAAATCAATAAGTTCAATAAATAATTTTAGTAAAGTTATAAAGGTAGATATTAGTCTTTTTTTTATCTATTTTGTTTATTTATTGCCCCTCTCTTGTTCCGTGCCCTCAACAGTTACAGAGTGACCCGCATAATCCGTATTAGGTTTTCCTGCAGTTTCCCTAATTCGTAAAGTAAATATACAGGAGTAGTATACAGAGTGGCCCAACGAGAAGTATACAGAGGGCTTTTAGGGTATTACATTTAGAAATTTCGAAAAATCCTCGAACACGTCAATTTTGTATTCGAGGGGGACAACTTTTGGAATACAAATCACGAACCCAAGTCTTCACCCCTCTACGTAGGGAGCTTAACCCCTAAAATTTTAAATGGAATCCTATGGCAAATGGCACATTATTTGAAAGCCAATTTAATCGTGATTACTAATCTGCTTTGCTTTTTAAATTCTATTGATTCGTTTCGGAGATATTCGCATTTGAAATGTTTTTTTCTAAAAAAACCAAAACAAATGCGATCTAAGTCACCTTGTATTAAAAAAGGTTTAAATTGTGCAAAAAATAACAAATAACTTTAAACACACAACATTTATTTTAATAAATGCTCGAATTGCCTTCCGCCTGCTTCCATGCAATAATAAAGATTTGCTTCAAAACGCTGCCGTACATGTTGCAAGATTTCAGGGGTAATCGCTCGAAATTGTTGAGTTATACCATAGTGTATTCTATTCTTACACTATGGTTATACGTGCTCGCAACCCTTGTAATGTTCCGGGCGGAGTAGCATAAACTTTATTCTTTAAATATCCCCACAAGAAGTAATCTAAAGGACTTAAATCAGGGGAAAAAGCCATTTCAAATGCGAATATCTCCGAAACGAATCAATAGAATTTAAAAAGCAAAGCAGATTAGTAATCACGATTAAATTGGCTTTCAAATAATGTGCCATTTGCCATAGGATTCCATTTAAAATTTTAGGGGTTAAGCTCCCTACGTAGAGGGGTGAAGACTTGGGTTCGTGATTTGTATTCCAAAAGTTGTCCCCCTCGAATACAAAATTGACGTGTTCGAGGATTTTTCGAAATTTCTAAATTTAATACCCTAAAAGCCCTCTGTATACTTCTCGTTGGGCCACTCTGTATACTACTCCTATATATTTACCTTACGAATTAGGGAAACTGCAGGAAAACCTAATACGGAGTAGCCGGCAGAATGCTCGAAACTGATCTAAGGAAATTCCTATCTCTGATACAAATGAAAAATGCTTACCTCAGCCCAGGTTCAAACACCCGTCCTCCTGCTATGTAGCCCAATTATAGAGAATAGAGCTGTTGTAAGAATTGTGGGGAATTCAGAGCAATAATGTAGGTAGGTATTAATAGGAAATAAAAAAAATTGTGGAGAATTGAGAGTAAGGTATTAATAGGAAATAACAATGTTTTGAGGAGTTCATGGCTATAATTAAGGTATTAATAGGAAATAAAAAATTAGGAGGAATTAAGGAATTAAAGGGAATTTCTTCAGGAAAAGGTATTTGGTGTACAAATTTTTGCTAGCGGTTTACCCCTCGGAGAAAACCTTCAAATTAAGGAGTCCATTTTCATTATTTAGGTGAATTGTGCTATATATTGTTGTTAAGTTTGACACTGACTTAATGGTTAGTTCAAAACACCGTGGTCACGAAATTGATATAGTTATTCTTAAAATCATAAAAAATCCTGTAAAAGGAAGTGTAAACTGGAACTATTTTCATTATTAGATTCTTCATCAATACATCCAAAACCAGGTTAATTTTCTGAAGAATAAGAAAGAAGAAATTTTCAGTAAGTACGCCACCGTAAAATTTAGATTTAGGGTTAGCAATGGACCAGAACAAAAAATTTCAAGTTAATTTCGAAAAAAGTCGAGATTTTATTCCACAGAGGGGAGGATCAACCCCTTTAATATGCAAACTCGTTGCATAATGACGCCCAACCTTGGGGCATAAAGGAAAGGTGCTGTTGCAAGAAGTAATGCTACACCTAATAGCTCTATGTTTTGAGGAGTAAATTCGAAAATACGGTCGCAAAGAATAGTCACAGTGTCATGCGCGAAGATTTGGAACCGTGAGCAAATATCTACCTGAGCAAGGCGAGGCGGCGCATCCGCCGGGTCCAGGCGTGCCTATGTCTTATGAACACCAAAATAAAAATTAATGAGATGAGTGAATTACGGTTTGTTTGACGGTTGTTTGACAAGGATTTGAGGTTGCTAAGTAACCTTTTTTCTAGCTTAAATGTCAATATCTCCTACTTAAACAATCATACGAAAAAATCAAAATTGTTAACATTTCCAAATAGAGATTTAATTTCCTTATAAAAAATGCACGGTTTTGGACGTACGGGTCAATTTTAGTACTTTACAAAAAAATATCGGCAATATTCAAGGTTCGAACGGCTGGCACAACGATCGAAAGAGGAAGAAACTCCATTAACTTTGGAATACTTTCCTCTACTTTTCATTATATTGGTCGGAAAGATTTATATTGACAAAAAATCGAAAGGTTTCGTAAAAATGTTATTAATTATTATGTTATTAATTCGTAAAAATGTTGCCAAAATTATTACCATTTCTGCAGTACTATCTTACTAACACATAAGTTGTCCACGCTCCAATCTTGTATAGTGCGTGTTAACAAATAAAAAAATTAAACATAATAATATTACATTAAATTCGTTACACGTTTTTACAAAGTATAAAGTAAATAATAAAGAATTTATGTAAAATTAAAACCGAGTCGTCGTACCTATGTAGCCCGTCCTTCTTTGAGCCGAATCAAATTGCTTTTGTTTTTTTTGCTACTATCAAATGAATTTGTGCCCATAGCTTCGTGATTTTTCGAGTACCTACTAAACTGCTGCAGGTTTTTATTATTTAACTATCACTATAACAGGTAACATCTTCTAATAAGAATTTTACAATGTAGTGCGTTATAAGATTAGGAAAATGGCCAACTATACAAAACTAACTAGTGATGTGATCGATCAACCTCTCTTTGCTGGAATACTCATGCGCCATTTATTCCAAGTATATTCCAATAACAACACAATCAAGCTAACGACGATCCCAATGCCCAATAAAATCAAAGCTCCAAAAGATTCGCCCAATCCCACCTCAACTTCCAAGTAACGAGTAAAATCAATGCATTGGGGTTTACGTGCGTCCCAATGTCTCCTCAGTCTGTGCAGTATTCCAACTTCCATTTGATGAAGATTGCTAAAATGTTCGACTCATGCAGTGCAATTATTCGACACTTACCAATAAAGAAACAGTTCCCTAAGGGGCGACTTTTTCGCTAATGCCATGTTTGCGTACACTGGCTTGTACAGTTGGACTTCTGCAAGTTCGCATATAGCTCTTTCCTCAAATGTTCTTTCCACAATCGGATAGCCAGTGCTGGTTTGAGTATGAAAAGCGTAAGCCCCTAATTTCACTTTCTCTAAACCTTCGCGGGCCTTTAAAAAGTTTAGCTCATTGTTCGGTTGTTTAATTTTTGTATCGTAAAGGGCTACCGCTACTGGATCTGTCGTTGTCTACAATTCCCCTGAATGCAGTGAATTTAAGTGACAAGAGACTCACTTTCATATAATCGACATCGTACAGCACATCTTCCATACCAACCTCCAATGAACTTCTTAGTAAATCCATAACGGTTGTAATGGTCCTTCTTGGAGGTAACAGCAAAAAGGAAACAATACTAGCCGAATAAAATTGAAAGATCAAAAAGAAAAACACCAAAACGCTCAGAACCACAATTCGACCACTTGAGAGAACAGGTATATAAGAAAAACCTAAAGGAAAAGATTTTCAATCGAACTTGGACAACGACTTATGTACCTTGTTGGCAAAGCTCTCCAATATTATAAATAATCAAAAAACTCCAATTACTTTCACCCACACTAGACTCCTGGTGAAACCGGTCTAATAATTGAATTTCATGAGTAACAATAAATTTCAATACGATGACCATAAGCGCAAGGGCCACTAAAGTTGAAAACCAAACTCCTTCATCTAATGGTCGCAAATAAAGTTCGTACGAACTTAACGTATTTTTGGGGTGACGAAAGATAAAAGTTGACTTCATTACCCAATTGCCATAACCAAAATCTAGCACTTTTAACCTAAACTCTCTATATAAAAGTGCAGCCAGTCCGAAATCTAACTTGTCGTCCTGTAAAGCCCTAGATAACCCATCTAATTCTCCATCCTCTTGTATATAACCCCAAGAGTCAGTAATACTTTTAATCATTCTACAAAGACCGCATTAATAAAGAAAGTTTGTAAGTAAAGCACTCACGAAAAATTGTAAAAATCCTGACACAGTTCTACTGTAACGGCATTAAATCGACTAAAGGTATTATTATTTCTTTCTGAATCACTTTTAAGGTATTCATCTAGTGAAATACTGATATTTTCCGGAATCTAATGTGGCAAGTGTCAACGAAGATTGCTTTCAACCGCAGAAAAGTTCTTACCACCATGCCTACTTCGAAAGTGGTCCCAGTCATATTTTGACGTTGATAATACCTGTTCCACACCAAATCGATGTTAAACCCATCGTCTTGATTGTAAAACCCTGCATTGATCACTTTTAAATCACCACCTTTTGGTTTAGCTGGATTATAAACGTCCAGTATCGTCCAGTTTACCAATATCCCAGCATTATCGGGTATTGCGACGCTTACATCTGCATTTATAAACAAATTGACATTTCCAAACGTGTCTATCACTGAGTAGTCAGAAGAGAAAACCAACCAGTGGTACGTGTCAAATAGAAATTTCAAATTTGCGCACTATAAAAGATATTTGATCGAGTGTTAGTCGCGAATCACTTACTTCCATCAAAAACGATTCAATATTCGGACAATCGCCATCCAGTATGACTCCAATAAGATAATGTTGCTTTGACAAAACACTAGCAACCGAGAAGGTCCTATTGCTAACGTCAAAAATGGACAGTCTTAAATCATCATCCATGAAACTCTTCATAACTTCAATTTCCTCTAAAACTTTAGGGTAACCAACGCATTTTCGCTATATAACTACCACCTTGTTTTGGGGAACATCCAAAGTAGGTGACCATTGTACAAAATTTTTGCTCTAAAAATGCCTTAGCCAGAGAGTATTCAAACAGTGCATTGCTCAATTGCACAACGGTCAAGAAGAGTAGAACCTTTGAATGCATTGCACAATGTGAAATAAATATTCGAATGAGAACTGACCACAACATTGCATCCTCCTTAAATCGGTTAAAATTTAAATACAAGGAAATTGAGACGCGATTATGTGATTAGAAACATACAGCTTTAGTAAAAAGATTGAATTGTATTCGAGTGAACATGAAACGTCGCGTGGCTAACTATAATTCTACTTAAATGCCCATTTAGCTATACCACAAAGTTTCTTAAAGCATGAAAATTAGATGAAAACCCTCAGTAGGTAGTTTAATAGAAATTTACCAGGGAAAGAAAATTACGCGATACACCACAGAGGTCCATCTACAAGCTTTCAGTGCCGTACACCATTGATAACGATCCTTTATCGTCAGTGACAAACTCCGTTTGTTGTAAAACGGCATATAGAAAATTTGAGAAATTAATTTTAATAGAAACATTCACTATTTGATATTTCGACGCTAAACACATTTATTTTTTCCAATGTTCTTTTTGAGCATATTGGAAATACCTCATTCTAATTTCTCCATTGTGAGTACCACGTAATATCTCATTTAATTGAAAATTAATATATTTATTTATTTTGCGTTTATTTTTGAGTGGGCGAGGTTTTAGCCACTTTACATTTACAAATAGCCATGCCCGAACCCAGATTCGAACCAGGCACCCTTAGCACCGTAGTCCAGCTTCAACTGAACTGCGCCCCACGGGCCGGCAATATATACTGTGTCTAAGATAAGGATGTCTATCACGGGGATCACCGAAACCATAGAAGATGCGACGATGGTCAAACACTTATCATGCTTTAAAGAAAACCAGAAAATTCCGATTACTTCCGAAAATATGCCCGAAAAACCGAAATTTACCGATTTGGTTTTTATTTTTGTTGTTATTTGAACAGATAAAAAACAAAAAACACTTTCTCATTACCACTTTTTGTGCTCTGCAAGACACGCTTGAGAAATTTTCAATACAACGTTTCGTTTCGGAAAAATAATCATCAACTTCTTTTTTTTATATAGGTACAATGCCTTTTTTTGAGGCCCGAAAAAAAAATTGTCTCAGATCGACCCGGAAAAAAAATTTTCTTATAGAATGTGGCCTGTAGAAGCCATAATTTCAAACAGTTTCAAGATTGGGCTACTAGTTCAAAAGTTACAGCCCTATGAATTTTCTTTCGAAATTTATTCTAGTCTATAACTTTTGATTGAGAAGTCTAATCGAAAAAGTACGAATTGTTTTGGATTCTACGCACCAAAATTAATAAGAAAAAGTCTTTTCCCGAGAAATTTTGGTGTAGTCGATTTTTGGTAAAAAAGGAACGTTATACCTAGCCCGTAAGAAAAGTAGGTACATATTGTATTGAGTAGCATTTTTATTAAGAGTCCAACGTTCTTTCTTCGTTACGGGTTGTGCTTCCTGGTGGTAGTTCCGTGTAGCCGAGACAAAAATTGTATTATGAACAAAAGATGCCGATTAAATATTGGTTAAAAAAGGACACCAGTCTCCAAAATTACGTTGGGTCCCCTGATGACGTAATATAAATAGAAAACCGCACAGCCAGCCGAAGAAAGTTGTATCTTTCACAATGCACCTACACGTCGCCCGAGCGAAATTAATAGCCGCGAAAGAGATCGATGGCGTCTTTGAAACTGTGAGTACACTTCGCGTGTTTTTTAATACGTTACAAAATAAAGAATTTGTTTAAAAGTGAATAAATAGCGGTCTAGTGACTACAGCGATTTAATTATGAAATTGTGAATTGTCAAACTAAATTGACCATTCCTTTGATAGCGTCACCACATGGATTAAATATTATTAAATAAATATTCGTTTTTTATTAAATTAAGTGAAATCAATTTTATTATTTTATTATTTATTTTTATATTTATTATTTTATTTATATCAAATTTGAGATTATATAATACTAGGGGTTATAATTACTAGGGAACTGCAACAGGAGAATATTATAATTAAAATTACACAACGATCATTTCCTAAAAGCCGTAGTACACCATCATAAATTACATGAATTATTCATGAATTTTGATGAAAAATGCTAATTACATCGTGTATTGTCACCGTGAATTTTTACATTCAATTTTACATCATAAATTGAACAAATAGGTTTTGTTCTATTTCTGAAGGTCATTGTCATGAATTTTTAGTTCGCTGTAGTACAGTTTATTTACTTGTGGTTGGCAAAACGCAAATATTGGTACAAGTGTAAAAACAAACTTGTAACCTCAATTCTTTCCCGTACTTTATTTATTTATTTAAAAATGTGGAACCAAGACCACACAAAAACACTCATACAATTGTATGAACAACATGAATGTTTATATTTAATTAGCAGTGTGCACTATAAAAACAAAACAAAGCGCAGAATGGCCCTGGAAGAAATTACTACAAATTTCAATAATTTGTGTAATACAGACGTGACATGGGATGTAATACAAAAAAAAATAAATGGGCTACGAACAACTTACACCAGTGAACTTAATAAGTTAAAAAAAAGCGAACATTCAGGTGCAGGATTAGACGATGTGTATGTATCGACATGGTGGTGTTTCGAATTATTGAATTTCTTACACCATCGGCAAGCACCTCACAATGCCACGAAAAATGTTTCATCAATCAATGTAAGTTTTATTTTATGTTACTTGTTGTACGAAGAAAAAAATTTGTAGCATGCGGCACAAGGGCAAGCTGTAGAAGTTTACCAAGGAGAAGTCGACTCTGAAAAGGACGAATTAATTTACGAGGGCACAATAGATGACATGGGGAATTTTAATGTTGGTACACCGCATGACGATTTAAATAGTCAATCTCCAATTACTGTAACACCCATTTCTCAAAAGGTAATTTCTTTATGGAGATAGTATAATGATTTTTAATTGTAATTTTATAGTCAACAAAAAAACGCAAAAGAGAATCTGCAACAGGAGATATACAATATGAATTATTAAAAGCTTCCACGTCGGCATTAACTAATATTAGTGGGGCTGTAAGTAAATCCGAGAATGATCCAACCAAAAACTTTTGTAAAAATATTGAATCAGAAATACGGATGATAACGGATCGTAACATCCTAAGAGAAGTAAAGAGACAGATAATGATGCTCATTTACGATGCGCAAGAAAAGGAAAATTGAAGAAAACATTTTTATATTTATATTTTATAAAATAAAACACTAGAAAACATTTTTTATATGCTAAACTCATTCTTTACACTGAAATGAACAAAACTTATTTGAAAACTATATTTAAATCATATTATTTTGCCATTCTACTGCTCCAATTCCATTAAAGTAATGGTTAAATTCTTCACGAATTTGCATTGCAGTATTGCTTGGACGATTACCAATTTGCTGACCAATTCCTCCTAGTTGATCGTTACTGGTTGTGGGGGTATGCTCAACCGATTGTACATACAGATTACTTTCAGCAATTAAAAAATTATGAAGAGCACAACACGCTAACGTAATATCTCGAGTTTTATCAGCTCCCAAATTAATTTTTCCCAACAAAATGCGGAATCTATTGGCCAAAATACCGAAAGCATTTTCGACAACTCTACGTCCACGGCTTAACCTATAATTAAATATCGCCTGTTCTTCAGTGAGGCCTCGAAATGGGTATGGTTTCAATATATTTTTTTTTAAAGGGAATGCAGCATCCGCTAGAATTACATACGGTACTGCACGTTGCATACCAGGCAGCGGTTTATCAAGTGGTATGTTGAGAGAATTATTTTCCAATGCTCTATACAGATCACTTTGACTAAACACACCTCCATCAGACACTCTACCATTCACACCAACGTCTATATATGTAAATCGATATTTAGCATCTGTAAGAGCCAGTAGTACAATACTATGGAATCCCTTATAATTATAATAAGTGGATCCTGATGCTAATGGTGCACAAAACGCAATATGCTTGCCATCTAAGGCTCCAAGCACATTTGGAATTTGCCATTCGTTATAAAAACCTGTAGCTATTTCTTCCCACTGAGAACAAGTTTCGGGCAACTGTAAAAAGTTATATTACTATTGGTTTCATATATAGGTAAAGTTAACAAATGTACCTTGATGTAGTCCTTAACTAGCACAGAATAAATTGCTCGACACACAACAGGGACAAACTGTGCAATGGTTGATTCATGCACTCTTGTAGAGAACATAATATTTCTAAATGTTTCTCCAGTCGCCAAATAACGCAATGCAATAATTAGTTTATGCTTTGCTGGTATTGCCTGACGCATAACAGTGTCCTGTTTGCTAATGAGATTTTCCACTTTTCCCAACAGTTTCAATAGGGACGTGTTGGACATCCTTAAATAATTTTTGAATGCCAATGGGTCTTCTGTTAATAATTCATTAGTCACAAGGTTCATGATTCCTTTGCTATCTCTTCTTCCAACCCAAGAACGCACCCATATTCTTCGATTCCGTTTTTTCTTTTCTTTTGATTGCAATTTTAACACAGTCGTTGACGCTGCACTTATTGCTATCACGGCGGCACTTAATAATAAATTCTTATCCAAGTCCATTATATTTCAAAATTTACCTAACCTAACTTTGAGTTTAATTGAACATGAAGGTAGGTGCCAATAATCCGAAGTTATCAATTTTCCCAGAAATTCAAAATATTGCAAACGAAAAATGTTAACGTGTATTGTCACATATTTTTACATCAATGTTTACATGCATTTTTCGTGTATTTTACATGTAAAAATTGAATCGTGTATTGCGGGTTTAAGGAGTACGTACCATTAAAGAAAAACGCTCACATACTAAGTCTAAATCCCTTCATGGATAACGCTGATATAAATATGCGAAAAAAATATCCTTTATTTCGTCAAAGCACATGGAGCACGAAAGTTTGTATTTGTAACAGTATGGTCCTCAACAGTTATTGTATTTAATTCGCGAAAATATTGACCACTGTTCTGTAAAGAATTTGCATAAATTGTTTCAAGATAAATCCAAAATTAGAAAATAATCAAATGGGCAACTTACCTTCATGCAGGGAATCACAGTCCTAACCTACACGTTTTATTAACTTTTCTCAGACGACGTAATTACAAAAACTCAATATTCAAACAGCGATGAAAACTCTCCGTCCACCAACGTAACGGAACGTGCTTCTTAACTGGACGTCGTGCAAGTCAAGTCACGTGAACACTTCCGCTTTTCTTTTTTAAAGGCGCACAAATGTTCGTCGTACTGTAAAAAACACTAGTCTTCTCGCATAAACAAAATGTTATGAATTACTGGAGCCGGACCCATTTTCTTTTGAACAGATATGTCCCTTTCACACGAAAATAAAACCTAACAAATAATTGGTAATCTATAATACATAGGAACATTTGAACATTAATTTTTGACGCCTTAGTGTGCCGTTTTTGAGGTTGCATTGTGTGTCACCTACCTTAAAAGGGAACAAGAACGTTCACCCCCTACAAACTCTACGACTAACGGGAAGGAATTCCATTTATATTATGCAGAACATCAACAATTTATATACCTATTATGAAGAAAGGCTTTATGCAAATCCACAATGATCTGCAGCTTAAATTTTAACGAGGTTAGACATACTGTTCTGTTGGTTGCCTATGCTACAGTTTTGCTACACTCACGCCATTAATTTTACAAGACCCTGTACAATTGGTCCATAAACGGTTCATAGGAACATTTACACAAATACAGCAGGTATCTTTGTAAATTAAAGTACAGGTATGGTGGTTATTTATTACGGTGGGGTAAGTGTAGCAAAAAATTTGACATTAATTTTCCCTGCTTTTTCATAACCTCAAACCACAAACATTGTCAAACTGTCGCAGTGAATTTTTTTATTATTTAGCTAATGAATTACATAATTGCTTACGTTTATATGGTAAGTCCAGCAAAAACTTCAACACAAACTTTACTACGGATTATTAATTTGTGATAACAAAATAAACCGCATTTTTATTTATTACCTCAATGTTATAATAGATGGAGCTGCCTACATTATTTTCAAAAGGAGTAAATAGGTAAGACTGCGGAGTATTATGGCCTATTATGCAGTGAAAACAAATGAAACACAAAAGGGCACACATAATACACAGTATATTTAATCTCTCACTATAATTTATAGGACAAAGCTATCCTTTCAATCAGTAGGGACTTCCTTTATCTTCCTTGTACAGAAAGTATATATTTACCGGACCTTTTGGTGTGTGTACAACCTCAATGTGTCGTATCATCATTATAGCCGCAATTCCATACAGTAAACAAGGTATACCTAGAAGTCAAAATAGTACAAACGTGATACAGCACATAACATGGTCTAAACCTAAATTAAACACCTTTATAAATCTAAAGAACAAATCTTCAACTCTTAGGTCTTGTTCTCTACGTTTGGAGCAATGATACTTTATGTATGGAAAACATCCCGTCCTTAAAATGTGATAATTTGAATTGGCAACTTTCCAATTAAAATGCGAACGGCCCCACTGATCGTCGACTATACTGCTGTACTACTAACAAAGTAATATTTTAAACTTTCATTTACATGTGTAGGTCCTACTTTAACAAAGTATGAAGTCCACGGAGGTTCATTACACTGTTGTAAATAGCAGGTTAACACTTCAGAAGATGTGGGTTTTGAGACTATTTTTCTAGTTTGAGAGTAACTTTGCAGTCGTATTAATGAGCGCTGATGTTTTGTAAATACAACCTCAGTATTTAAGCCGAATTTTGTAGTTGAACCTACAGTTCTCAACATTGCACTTTTATATTAGCTTCTAGTAATCATTTTAAAAAAAGGAAATATCAACTTTTATAATAGGATCTTTGTTTATTTACAAAATACAACTTGCTTTCATAGGTTAAAAACCCACCACAGAATAGAAGGGGAGGAATACTAATTCGTTAGAAATACAGGGTTTAACAAAAGTATGTACCAAACAATTGGTGGGAGGGGGCCAAAACCAACTTTTTACGAATAAAATGTCACCTATCGATGGCAAAGTATCGGCGAAAAAAGTGATAAATTTGTTAAAGGAGCCAACCCTTCCGAACATAACGTCACAATTAACAATATACAACCACGAAAATTAGGAGTAATTATTGACTGCAATAAAAAGGATGATGCTGATCACGCACTCTGAACTTACACAAGTTCTATACAAACAAATCTGAGGCAGTCTTTTTTGGGAAGAGGCTACAACAGAAAGGGCCTTCATTTCGACTCGAAAACGGCTTATATAGATGACAGAATATAAATTATAAAACAACAAAGGAGAGGTCGGTTTTTTCATAGAATATAAGAATTAGGAATTATTAACAAGATCACAGATTTGTGATGGTACCTATAGTTTATGACATTCTACATCATGAAATATACATAACTAGACTATAGACCGTTTTGACGAATTCAAAAATTGAATAATATACACAATGTTGTACTTAAAATAAAAACTGGTATGGGCTACTGTTACATGACAAACTCTGTATTATATATAAAATATGTTTATTGGAAAAAGTATGGGCACTTAATACAAACACGTAAATTGGGAGAATTTAATTTATTTGCTAACAAAATTTCATGCACGGTCTTCATATCTCTGCCGATGAAAGCGCTTGCGCAAATTAAACTGCTTTAAAACCAGGTGATAGAAACCATGACCAACAACTATTAACTGTATCACAATCTACTAATTCGATCAAACTGGTGAAACAACTCCAAATAGTCTCCTTAACACATAATGCAATAAAACACCTGTCTATTGCTGTATAATTCCATTATTGCTTCTATGTCAGCTTAAAAGATACATACATATGGAAGTGATTCTATGAGGATAGTTTTTATCCACAGTTATAGTGTACCTGATTATGTTAATTCATTGATCACTACATCTCCTTGGTCAATCTCAATAGAATTAAAATCTTGAGGTATATACATTTTTGCAAAAAATTGTACACTATCTTGCAAATCTGCCCATCGACTAGCCACACTTAAACTTAAGCTTTTTCGAAAAGCCATACAATGAATATGGGACAATTTTTCATATTTAATACGACTAAAACCTAATCCAGCCAATAGAAATCTCCACGATTTCATAATCTTTGCATTGGCTCCTACATGTTTAGAATCAGGTGTCACTATCAGTAATATACCTTCTACTGTAAGCAAATTGTAAGCTTTCTGACAACACATAAGACGTTGCTCTGGAGTTGGCAGATATTCCAAAAATAAACTAAAAACTACTACATCAAACAAAGCTTCCTGTAACTGAAACCTTGTCTGCAGGCACTCAGTCGCAATGTCCACATTTAAGAAATCGCACAAGGCAACATCTGCAGTTGCAGGTGCAATGTCTATAGCTGTAACATCAAAACACTCAAACACCTTAAAGGGGTTATAACAACTGCCAACGTCCAGAAGTCTAATTTTTCCACGCTTTGCCATTGGGAGGTCTAAAGTTAAGTTAATTTTGAGACCAATTTCTTTCTCGCGTAGGCGTTGTCGTAGGATTTCTTCCCCATAGAAGTAGAAGTTGCAGTAGTTGAAAATCCAATTAATTCGGGAAAACGCAGCAGTATTTTCTTTCGCATAATTGTTCTCCCAAATTTTGCTGGCAAGTTCGTGCATTGCCGCGGCATATTGATCTAGCATGTCCCGTTTTGAGCAATGTTCTTTCCACGCTTTATCAATTCCATATTTCTTCGAGTCGTTTCTCAAGTTCTCGTGAACTTTTTTTATAAAGTGCGATAACTCCAAATGTTGTGTGTTTGCCATCTCTGGCAATTAAACCACTAACACAAATGACATACCACTAATTTTATAAAAGAGGCACAAGTTTGAAATAACATATTTTTAGGTTATCATGATACCACAGAATATATAACACAATCGTGAATCGTCCCTTTCATCTAAACCAGACTACCCCAAAATGTTAGTGTAACGCGTTCTTATAGCGCATGCCCAAAAAGAAAATGGCGTCAGGTACGCAAAGTTTAAATTTAAACATCAGCACTTTCTTTCATTAAATTTAATAAATCACACATTACTTAAATACTATCCATTAGTAATTTTGGCATATTTTCTATTAAAGTCTAGAATTAAACTCTTATGTAATTTTTTTTCTGCTTCGGAATGTATCCATTGAATTCGTTCAGCCGGATTCTCATGAACCTTATAGTAATCTGTGTAGAAAACAATATAATCAATCCACACGTCGACGTCCTCTGCACCAAACTGTTCACACGCGCGCTCGTGCACTTTTTCCCATGCCTTGAAATTATACTTCAACTGTACGCTCTCCATTTTTGACATCATAGCATGAAGATCCTTGCAATAGGGTTCCTGAATTGCTAATTCATTATAAACATCGCGTGTTACTTTCATCCCTTTAGCTAATGCTAACCACTCAATGTACTTCGGTTTGAGATCATCTGAAATTTCTTTTGCTTGCTTCACCGCATCTCTGTATATTAAATGGATGTAATCATCGTGAGACATAATCAAATGATAAGAGATAATTTTTTGCCATAGCGGTAGTGATTTCTCTTTCAGATTGATAATGCTCAATTTGAAAACTAAGTTCACTTTTCCCGTATCCCCTTTTAATATTTGCTTGCATAACCGTAATTCCCATAATTCCACCGAGTGAGGGAATGCATCCGTACCTACAACAAATAATAACAATTTTATGGTGAGTTGGGAAAATAAACTCTATGTACACGATCTCGGAACCACATATGTAACACAATATAATTTTAATGTTAGTAATGCTCATAGTAATGTTGGTTGCCTAACTTCACTAATTGTTCAATTTTATTTCATGTTCCCCTTGTCCCCCTTGATGAACATTTAGCACTGATAGTATAAGTAAAAATAGAGATTTCCTCTTAAACACTTCAGATTAATTATGAATTGACATCTATTACACTGTTTCAAAATCTGTTCCAACCCCCTCAACATGTATTTGCAAGTCACAATTTCACTTTTAAATAACGATATGTGGTTTTCTTTATCTAACATGAACGTAGGGCGATTGATACATTCATTTTAACTTGTAAAAACGCACAGAAATTTGAAAAGTATGTAACCAGTTACAATGTCAAAGACTGACAGCTGTCATTTCGGCTGAACAAACCACAGATCTGTTATAATAATTACCAAAATGCTAAACAAAGGCGATCTAACCATAACAATAATTGAACACCTGTTGTTTCCCATTTAGTCTCACGTGATACTTTCCAGTAGAGCAAACAAATACTTTAGCAAATATGTCTAGCAAGAAGCCACACTTTAAGCATTAAATTCAACCCATAGCCGACCCTGGGGTTTAACAAAGCAGTTGGCTGGGTTAGTAGAGCAGCCTTGGCCCACTTAAAAGAAAAAATAATTAAATAAAAAGCTTTAAGAGATGCCTTTAACTTTGCAGGCAACATCTGCAGCCCAATCCTCCTATCACCTAATGCCTCAAGATAAGTATCGTTATTTACATGGCAAATAAGGATAGAAAGGTGGCCGTAAACATGCTAAATAATTAAATTGGTATTAACCCTTCTCTGCAATTTCCAAAGCATCTTCGTCTTGCGCAAACGTTACCCAAGCAATGTAGTGCCTTTCCAACAGACAATCTTCTGAGTAGGCACTGTGTAATGCTGCCTTTAATGTCGATTGTTTTAAAACGTTGGCAGACGCCGTGTCTTGCTGCAGATCAATCAAGAAGTCCAGATACAAAGCCCACAATTTTGGCTTCGTAACTTGAGATACCTTTGAGAGACCTTCTAAGTATTTGGCAAAACAGGCTTCCAACTTTGCTTTTGGGGTGCGACTTTTTGTAGCCGGTTCGGGATTGGCGAGTTTAACTAATTGATATATACCTAAAAAATGAAAACATTTTGACGACATTAACAAATTGTGTATTAGTAACCTCTTCGTTCCCTTTGAGCAAGAGCGTGCCAGATGTTTTCATTATTATAATAATCCCCTGTCATTTTATTGATTATAACATCCTGGATGGCGAGAGTAAATTGATGTTCTTCCAGTTGCACAATAAGTTCAATGTAGAAATTGGGATCGTTGATATTAGTAAAAATGGTGTCAACAACTTCTCTGATACTAGTAATACATTCATCTTTACTTTTGATGTTGTGAACCATGCTGTGTATTTCGAGTGTAATTCTTTCTTTATACAACATTTGGCTATCCTTATGTATTTCTAAGGCTTTAGGGAACATAGCCAAAGCCGCATTAATATCTTTACGGTCATAGGCATGCCAGTTAGTGGCCGCTTGCCACACTTTTGGATCATCCGCGTGAAGCTACAAGACAAACTGAAAACTAACCGTTAAGGTCAACAGTTTTAATACCTGCACTAAACGCGCTATTGCATCTGAAGCGTCGTGAACATAATTTACTCTTTTGCAAAATTTAAAAAATGCTAAAATTAGTGATACATCATTAGTTCTTTGCAAGGCTAACTCGTAGAGAGTTTTTATCCGTTTTATAATCTTATATTCGATGTTGTTCTTTTCGAATATCTTGTGCTTTTTTCTTCGGAGTCCAATGTCTTTTAATAAGCTTTTCTCGTAGATAATATACTCTTCATAGCTTTTTACGTCTATTAAAACACTGTGTATCTTCTGCTCAAACTCCTTACGTTTTTTAAAGACTACCCTAAAACTCCCAGTGTTAGCTTTCGATTGGTATTTCAGGTTTTCTCACCTCGTCTCATCCGGAGTAAATAACTTAGTGCGCCTCATATCCTCCACTTCCTCCATTATGGAATCTAAACGTTTTTGGGTAAAATCTGCCATTTTCGCTTTACCTCTGGATAGAAGAAGTTCTAAAATGCCAATCTCTCCATTTAAATTCCATAAATTATGCAGAACTAGGATTTGTTTATTTATTTTCAGAAGTTAGGTTAAGAACATATAATTGTTCGTGACGTCACAAACAGGATGCGTATAGCCGGAGCGTACTATAGAAGTGATGTCAAGCCGGTGCATTTGTGAAATTCACGTAGCCATTCCATTCCAGGCGAATTTTTCTGAGAGATTCTGCTGTCTGGTCCATCTGAGAGTGCTCTATCGTTTTAAAAATCTAAAGGAACGTCATTTGAAGGTAGAATTTTATATTACATACATACTTTCATGGTTTATTAAAAAAAAGTGTAATTCACAAATCAATATATGTTTGGAAAAATTGGCACAGGAATGAATCTTGCCGGGGGCTACCACATTATCTCTGTCTGTACCTACTTCCGACGTCCCCTTCACTCCAGCACGCAAGAGTTGCGCGCGTTTACAAGATCTTTCCAAGGACACCAATTTGAAAACAATCGGACCAATAAACTTTAGAAGCAGATAGAAAAAACTGAAAAATTACCACGTTTTAGTATAAAGCTCGGTCATTCCGGTCAGATGTCACCGACACCATATCATGAGGCTCCGTCCCTAAAGCTCCTTTTTCTACAAGCGTTCTTCTACGGTCCCATATTTGCCAGCCAGCCAGCCAAAGTGAGATTAAAAGCGACCTTTTTACAAATAAGTTTGCAAAAAAAGCGCTAAAAATATGACGATATCAATAGAGGTACTGATTGAAAATTGCACTAATGCAAAAGACAACTTTTCGTCTTTAGGTACTCCAGTCTTTCGTCATGTTATCACATAACACCCAATTTACCGAAAAAGTCATATTAAATGGGGAATTACTCAAAATTACATTTACATGTATAACGCATTAACTGGAATGCAACTTACTATTTGCATAGAACAAAATAAGTTTTTTACCGAAGTTTATCAGCCTGACCCTGTTATCTATTCCCACGGATATAAATACTTCAACTAAAATAATGTATATTGCAGAAGGTACGTAAGTTTAATTCTGTGTAAAACAATGGTAAAGATATTGTGTCTTTTGCTTCTGATTGCGTTATGTCGGGTAAGTAGATTTATATACCTAAGCATAAGTAATCGTAAATGTAATGACGTTTTTTAGACACATTTCAGTTACGCTATGGCACTGAATGCCGAAGATATATGCGCAGAGGAAACCAAGATAAGCATGGCTAAGGTTTGGGCCTCATACAGAGAAGAAAGTATTTCAGAAGAAGATGAAGAATATGGAAAGTATTTTCATTGCGTTTGGTTAATGAAGAAACTTATGGACGTTAATGGCAGCATTGATAAAACAGAAGTTCAAAATTTTTTGGAAAAAGAGATTTCCCAAGATTTTACGTTAAATGCTTCTTTAAAACAAACCCTAAAGGAGGCGGCCGAAAGGTGCTCAAAGCTTGATAGCGCTTCCGTGCAAAGAAAATCTGTGAAATTGAAAAATTGTATTACGTCTACCATAAGATCGTCCGTTTTCCCGTTGTAAATTACGTTTGACAGTATGACGAAGAGGCATGCATTAAAAAAGACTATTTTTTGTATAAACTCCTACCTGACAATTTTGTAGTCCAGATTGCGAATGTTTCCTGAATGTCTTTACAGAACGTCACGGGGAATATCTTTTGGGGGTCCAAAGAAAGTTCTATGAACAAAAACAACCGTATTTTTCTCCCATTTAAGCAACCGAGCATGGTAGTCAGGAGATCTTTTGTAAAGTGATAGAGCGAGAGTCTCTAGAACTATATCTCTGATGCAACAATTTTAAAAAGGGGGCAGTGTAGCGAGTTCTCTAGATCGTTATCAAGGTACCATAAACTCTATAACGGATTAGTCATCGGAGAAGTTGTTCTTTGGTTATTTAGCCTTAGTCTTAACATCGATATCTAACTGATAAATAATGAAATACGCGCGCAAAGTGTGCAAATAATCATCAATTAATCTATTTAAAGACTGTTGTAAATTCATCAATAAGTAATTGAATTTAAGTAACTCAGATAATTAAATTTACTTTCAAATAGTTTATTGTGACGCAGGATATCTAATCTTTATTATCAGTCAAACGCTTTATATACAATGGCTTTAGGTTCAAATTAAAGCTTCTTTCTCTTTTTCTCTGTCTTGAGAAATGAAAGGGGCATTTTAATTCTGTTTTCGTTACTCCTGAGGTAGTCTGCGCCTCTTTGGTGAGATCGAAATCGTGTCTGTTACCATTGTTTAAATGGTCGCCTAAGTAGATAGAAATTTCAAATAAGTAATCTGTGGTACAGATGTCGCAGTCTCGCAGTTTCTATTCTGTGGTGGCGTGACATCACGCCAAAACAAACATGGCCGTTTGTAGTGAAAACTTTAAACCACAACCACAACAAAGACGTTTATTTACATACGTTGCAATGTACGGGCGCTCCAAATATAATTTTACAATTTTTATAAACGGTAATTAGAATGATCGTAGTACGCTGTTATTTAAATAGTGGCTCAAATTAATTTTGAATTGTTTGGCAATCTCGTTTACGCCGATAAAACGATTGGTCGATTGTAGACAGGTAGACTTGTAGGTGTTTGACTTCTAAAGTTAAAACTTGAGTTTAGTTTTGAGACGATTTTATTGTGACTTCGTTTATTATATTTTATTAAAAATGCGGTAATTAATACCGGCCCTAATATTATGTGAGAGAAGAGTACAACTATGGATAAGCAGGCAGAAGAAAATTTGGTACCACTTTCATCTGGTAAGGATTTTTTTTAATGTATACCTACCTACGTCTTAATTTCCCAATATTCGACCTTAATTATTTGTCGATCTATTGATGCAATTTCACTTTTTCTTGTGTAATAGGTGCACCTATTTTAATTACCTGTGCAATATTTATTATTGTTTTTAAACTGTTGTGGACCAACAGACTAATTAAAAAATGTAATTATTTGCACTAGTACTTAAATCAATTATTTGGTTTAGAGCGATTATTAGATTATGCTAATTGACATTTAGAATAGTAGGTTAGTGCCTCGGTTAGTGCACAATATTATGAGAACATTTTATTCTCGCAGTGTAAAAGATCACCCTCAAGATCACCTGAACAATAATTGAAGTATTATAATTTTTATAAATATTCTCTACAGTGTAAATATGTGCCAAAACGATTTACACCTAAAGTTGATATACAGGCCGGGTAGGTAATATGTAGGTACCTATATCGTGGGTAATATGGTTTTGTGTATTACCATCTCTCGCTAATGTGAATCAGAATTCTGAGGAGAATTCAGTGTGCAATTGATAATGGCTGGTAATTGGGATGGTAAAGGGACCAAAACAAGATTATCAAATGAACTGGGAACCCAAATATCCCAAAAATTGCGTTTGTTTATTAATTTTTTAAGAGTATCTTCTATTACCATAGAGTAAATAACGTTATTTAATTACTCTATGCTATTACACACAGAAGGATACCTCTGATGATACTAGGGGCGTTAAGTAGGTTTTTGGGTTTTTCTCTGTTCCAACCTCCGTTCCAACAAAATTTTTCCCTAAATTGAGGAACTCAATTGAAACAAAAACCAAATACTACATCTTAATCTACCCTACCCTAGTTTTGTAATATTGTTGCACTTTATCCTCGACTTTATCGTTATTGATCAATTCTTAAATGCGTATTTGATGCATGGTAGGTATATTAATAATTCAAGAATTTTTCGTTTGGAATAATTAGAGATTAAAACGGCACTCCTCATTAACAAAGTTAATTAGACACATTTATTTTTAATTTGCGCAGGTAGGTATTTTTGTGGTTTGCATGTTGTGTGTCAGTCTATCTGTATATTTTTAACATCGCGAATATAATATACTCTCGTCTCGACTTTTGTAGTCAATTGTGAAAGTAAGTGAAGTACCCGAAAAATGTACTCAAAATTAGACAATCTTGATTATGCAATTTCCGAGGTAATTTCTTTGAGGCTGCTCCTTAGACTCGGATGTCCGGATTTTATGATTTTGATTCTATTTATTTTTAATAATTTTTGGTAGATATATTGTACGTATAATCCTCTCATAAACAAAGTGTAGCTGTGTAAATTTCGAGGTAAATTTTATTTAAGAAAACGGAACTAATATGTATGAAAACTGCCCGTGTAAAGTTGAAGTTGAAGTGAAAAAGTTATCGTTTTCGAACAGGCGAGATTGACTTTAAAACATTGGCGTAACAGTAGTTGCGAGAGTACTTAGTTGTGATTACCGGCAATCTGTTGGTGTCAAATTACACCTAGAAATTTTTTTCCAATTTCCAGATTTCGTCGATATTAGATTTTTTCGCACCATGTTGTAGTAGTCATTTTGGAAATATTTTTACAAAGAAAAAAGACCCAAAAACCTAGGTTTACCGTGCTTCTATCTGAGAAAAAACATTAAAGAGGAAACGTAAATTTTCGGGACATAGCTACCACACGAAACATTTTTAGACATTCGGCTATTAGAAAAAATCTCGGAAAACATGCTTGTTTTAGTCGTTTTTTTAATGTCGCTTATTAAAAAAATCGAAAAAACAAAGAATTGAAGTTATAATCGAATTTTATCTTTTTGCACTGTCCGAGCTTGTGTCCTTTGAAAAAACCCAACTTTGGGCTATAAGTCATAATCATGCAACATAAGTAATAAAGCTAAAATCTTATGCATAATTCGAGTATACCTAAATAACTTCTATTTATGGTATTTTTTTGAAAAAAACTTTGTTGCCACGTTACTATTTGGTCGCTATTTGGGAAAGTTCATAACGGCAACGCGTAAGTAAAGTTATTCCTAGCGACATCGGAATTGGAACACCCTGTACAATTTATCTTCTCCGCCCATTTGAGGTAATATATTACCTCGATATTTACCGTTTACCCAATGAAATTGATGAGGAACTTTTTGCACTATCAACGTAACCAAAGAAAAAGGGCAAGAGCGAGAGCAAGAGACATACATTGGTTTTCTAGTACACCACATAAGATCTGAATCGAGATTTGAATCATTGATTTGATAAAGAATTCGTTATGGAATTCTGCAATTCGATCTTCAGTGTATTTTAGTATGATTTCAACCCTTTTCGGATGGTAAGACAGGAGTTCCTGCACAATAAATTGATACAAAATTTTCAGTGAATATTTGCAAACCTCTTGGTTAGCACCACCGATCGATATTTCCACTTTTCCAAACCATGGATGTCCAAGTCAAGGATCGGCAAGAATCCCTCAATTTTATTTAATTGAAACTCCAAAAACTTATAGCCTGAGCCTTACAAAATTAAAAAAATGTTGACAAAAAAACCACACAAAGAAGGTTATACTACTTAGTTGAAAAATTCGTGGGGGAAGGGGGGGGGGGGTACGGCTTCTACTCGCATGTATGATGTTCTTTCAAATATTATTATTCTGTAAATTGACCAATAGAAAGTGCCCAACAATGATTGTAATATCTGAAACCCCGCCCACTTAAAAATAAAGACCAAAAATAAAAATAAATAACAAACCTTCCCACATGCCGCATATTCTGTAAAATAAAAATCTTTGCATTAAAACCAAAGCAGGGTTGTAAACGAATTTATTTGTTACTCAGTTGTAAACGTTGATTAACAATACAAAACGCAAACGGGTAAACGTCATGTTTAAACGCTACTGACTTGTAAAACTGACAGCAGACTTGTAAAACTGACAGCAGACCTGTAAAAATTTTACAAGTTAGTAATCTAGTAATTTCATTGGCCAGAATTAATGCGAAGTCTCTGTTACATGGATCACATGATATTTTAGACATTTCTTCAAGATCAATTTAAGAACTAATTATTTACGTTTACAAATGAGTAACAAATAAAATATTGTACATTATACGCCAGGTAATAGTTTTTACTGGCTCTAGGAGATGACAGGCTCGCCTAACGGCTCGCCAGTCAACTTCTCCTATCGCCAGTAAAAACTCACTTACCTGGCTAATAATGTAAAATACTATTACTTTATAAAGGTTTTCCAATATGGTTGTTGCACAAAAATTGTGCCGATCCCGTAATTATATAGCATTTATCTTCTATTTCCTGAATTATTTCCACGTTATCTGTGCAGCCATGTTACGGTACACCCTGTACTTACGGGTGAAAGGTTTCTTTTGGGACGGCGGGTGTCCAGCACCGCCACAGTCATAACTAACAAAGTTAATATCCCGAGCATCGTCGTTTTTGTTTGGTCAAATTTTTTCGAGAATTTTTTTTAGTGTAGAGAATAATTTAACTACCTAATTGATCTTTAATTTAAGAAATAAATTAGTTTTTTTTACATTTCTACCACAAAGTAGCATAAATCGTAATGAGCCCTTATTTACTTCACTTTGATGTTGCTAATTTATGTAAACTTTATTTTTTTCTTATTCGTACTGAATAAATACCCGAGTACCTAAATACCTATCTGCAATTGCTGCATGGAATGTGTACCCAAATGCATACTGCAAGTATAATTCATCATTTTTGTTTGTCAAAAAGTGGTATCGGAGACGTGATCAGCCTGAATAAAATAAGGGAAGCAAGTATAAGTTCTTTAA